ACGGCATCGTGCTGAACTCCAAGATCAAGACCATCGAGACGGACTACTGCAACATTGTGCGCGACGAGTCGATGCTGTGGTATGTGTCAAGTCCTCCCCCTCCGATTCCCCCTTTCTATTGGTTCGCCCATTGATGATTAATAATATCATAAGTAGTGTGTATGCTCGGCACCTCTTCTAGCGTATAAATACCCGGTGAGAGGCTACAGTGCGGTGCATTAGTGTAAAACTAGGAAATCCTTTAAAGCTCATCCTTCGATAACACCACTTGTTGCACGTCTCTCCATTTCGATAAACGATCAGCCAAGCCGTATTTCTACCTCACCATAAAAACTGGCATGACTAATGGGTTTACTTGGGGGACTTATGCCATTTCTTCGTTCGTTAGAACTTCCCATACAAATAAATCTATTTTTTGAGGGTTTGGAGTACGCTGTTGGAAATATATGTATTTTGCCCTGCAGAAGGCGAATAACAAATCAAAGTGCGGGAATTAATTTATTTTAGGCGTTAAATTTGCCTTGAAAATAAGTTCTAAAAAAGCTTTTTTCTCCTACTCGATTTGTCATAAAATCTTGAAATAATTGTAAGATTATATATTTTTTTTATTTAAAAATTAATTTAGTTTTTCTCGTTTTCCAAATCGATTTATATTTATGAAAAGCACTGTAAATCTAAATATGTGTGTGCACGAGTTTGTTGTTTGCGGCCAGGTTGCTTGAACGTCAGCATGTCTTAAAAATTTACAGCTTTTCATACAAATAATCACGGCTAGAGAGACATCGGCGCCATCAATTCATTTCAAAGTGAACACTTTTCCCTCCGATTCTCTCAGGCTCATGCTCGAGTAAATTGCTGAGCAAATAGTTCGCGGCTTGAGCTTATCAGATAATGCTGCTGTGCCTGCGAACCGATCGTATAAGTGTGTACAATAACATATCAACGGTTGGGGTAAAAATAGTGGGGCGTTAAAGCAAGTTGTAGTGAAAGCCCTGGCAATAAAAAGTAGTAAAACATATTTAATGGCATGATAATTATACTGAACTTGCAAATTTTTTACATTTAAATATAAAGAAATACAGATATGAATAAGCAGTCTAAAAGAGATTATTCAACCTAAATACTAGTAATACTCTTTTGTTTCAACATGAAAGAAACTAGGAGTGCACCACTATTTAAGACAAAACTTCTCTCATACCTAAAAAATAACAGTTCCAGTTTGCTATAAGCTATTCTATCCTTATCCTATCTTAACATTGCGACTTATCCCCAAAACCTCTTCCTTTGTTTTTAAATTCGATTTAATTATATTTGTCATTCTGTATTTTCAATTATTAATGTACAAATTTATGTCATTAGATTTAAGAACCAATTTTGTTCGAAAAACAATAAATAATAATAATAATAATTATAATCATCTATACCCTTCTCATTTGCAGCGAATCCATGGAGTACCTGAATGACAAGGCGCTCGGCGATGGCGACACGGCGCTGAAGTTCGCGCTGCTCTTCTCGTCGCGAAACTTCGACGCCCTGGCGATGAAGGAGACGAAGGTGCGAAGCGCCATGCTCAAGATCCTGGAGACGAACTTTCTGAACGCGGACACATACCGACTGCACGACAAGAACCGGCTGTACAACTCGATCACGCTGCTGGGCGAGTACTACCACAGGGTGCGGCTGGCGGACAATGCCCCAATCACCATTCTGGGGGAATCCCTGCTGGACCTGCTCACCCGGGAGCTGAACGACACGTCGGTGGTGCTGGGCACACGGATCGCCCGTCTGGTGCTGTCGCAGATCACGCTCAATGGGGAGATCATGCGGAAGCGCCACAAGGCGGAGATCGATCTGCTGCTCTTCCACGTTCGCCGGCATCTGATCATGCAGCCAGCGCTGACCGCCAAGGTGAAGGCCATGTTGGTGATGGTGCTGGACCTCTTCTACAGCCATTTCAAGCACATCGGACACGACCTGGAGGCGATGTACACCAACTTCCTGGTGGTGGAGGAGGGCGAGGAGGACGGGGTCAACAATAATGGCGCCAGCCATCCCTCTGAAGATGGACACCCGCAGCAGCAGCAACTCCAGCATCAGCAGTCGGAGAACGGCAGCAGTGCCAACACATCCGGCCAGGATCAGGACTCCTTCGATCCCCCCTCGTCGACGAAGAAGTGGAGCGAACAGGTTTGCGAGGACTCCTTCTGCGACATAGGCTACGGTGAGGCGGACCAGGGCGACGATCGGTATTCGGAAGCCGGAGGCCACTCATATCCTGCCAACAACTCTGCTGCACTTGGCCACCGGCGTCGCGGATTTCAACCTCGTCAAGTTCCACGGCCTCTGAAGTCACAGCAGTCACAACATCACCAGCAGCATCAACAGCCACCCAGCATAGAGTATGTATTAAATATTTATTGGTGATTTAACTAATCAAATTATGATTAAGGTAATACGTTTATTCGCACGTTTATTTGACCAATATTCAATTCATGACTATTTTTTGGTCAATCTGTATTTAAAAAACATTTTATTTGCAAAGAAAACGTGTGTATAAAGGTTATAATCAATCACAAATTATATATCAGTGTTGACTGATAACAATCTTTCGATGAGCTTATAGGTATTCAATAAATAAGATTAATTAAACTTCTATGTATAATATTAAAAATTCAATTGTGATTTATTTATAGCGAAAATTCCAAGATTGAGTCAAGTCCTTTAAGTAAGTCACGGAAAATATATTATTCATTTACTAGCAAACCTTTTGTTTGATTTTATTTTATGATAGTTCGATTTCGAACAATTAATATTAGACAAATTAAATTATGTTTTTTGATCTCATTTTGGAGTTTATGTTTTGAGAACAATTTTAAACTTGAAATATTTATTGTTTGCGTAGTTTAATATGTTAATTTAATTTTATTCAGTTTATTTAAGGACCTCAAATCAAAAATTTATGAAACTCGATAGTCATTTTCTCCCAGTTATTAATTGGTTTCAATGGCGAGAACATTGCTATTTATATTTAAAATTTTTCATTTATAAGTTATTTTTTAATCTTATTATGTACCACCGATATAACCGTATACATCATTCACAGCACCAACTCCGACCAGTATCCATCCATGGCCAGCAGCGAGGATCGGGACGAGAGCAAGCCGCTCCCTAGCTGGCGGAAGACACGCTTCAACCGCAATCACGAAGGGGACCAGAGCAACGGACGGTCACGCGACCAGCAGCGGCGGTTCAGCGTGAGCTGCGACGATGACCACCACAGCGTGCGCAGCGAGGGAGGCGGCAACCTGCGACTGTACAGCATCCACGACCGGAGGAAACACTCGCAGGAGCGGATCGAGCGCAACATGTCTGGCGGCGGCAACTACAACAGCATCGTCAACTCGAATTGGGATCAGCGGGATCGCGACGATCGCAGCGAGCGCTCGTACATTAGCAACTACGAGCGCGGTAACAACTACAAGCGGAATGGGCGGTTCAACAACCGCAACACCTACGACAAGCCGCCGCGGTTCCAGAAGCAGCAACAACAGCAGCAGCAGATGCAGCAGCAACATCAGGGCGGCCACCAGAAAATACACAGCGATACCTGGCGGCGCTCCAACAATGCCATAAACGTTGGCTACCAGGATGAGAACTGTGCGTACAACTCCAACGGACCGGAGTCGAATAGTCGCAGCTCCTCGAGGGCTCGCACGCTGCCAAGACCACCAAAGTCCCAAATGGACAAGGGTGGCTACAGGTACAACCAGAGTCCCACTCATGGAGGCAGCGGTGGTCCGCGATTCCCGCGCTACAGCAGCCAGAGCAGTTTGGCCAGCGAAGCGTCCAGCTCGTTCGATCGCCGCCAGCAGACTTCGCCGCAACATCAGCAACAACATCCGCACCAGCGGCATCGCCATTTCACGCGCCGCTCGCAGCCGGACGTCCATCAGCCACAGAACGAGGAGAACTGGCCGGCTCAAGGTGGCCAGGGCCAGGAGCAGCAGCCCTCGGGAAAGGAGGAGAGCGAACTGGTTCGGAATGCCCAGCAGACCACCAAGTACATGAACTACCTGTCGGCCCAGAAATGAGACAGACAAACGGATCGTCGTCAGGGCAGCAAAATACATTTGTAAACTAGTTAATATAGTTTATAGAGAGTCATCCCTCAGCCACTTCCACATATACTAAAAATGTTTTCAAGTCTGTTTAGAAGTTCTTCGTTGTTCCCTGAATTGTATGCCGTAATTGTATCCCAATGGAGGTGTATATTCACGTAGACTGTTTTTCGTCTTAAACTGAGCTCAAACGTTTAACCAAAATAACCAATTCAGCCCAATCACAAATCAGATGCAACTCAAATTCAGGCTCAATTAGCAAACAAACAATACAACACTTGCATGCATTATATATCGGATTCGATTGTAAATACCAATTATATATATTTAAATGTCTTATGTAGTCACACACCACATAAACACTCCCACAAAAAATACAGTCACACACTCATTTTTATATTTATATATACAACTGTTTAGAAACTAAGTACAAAGTCAATGAAACAACAAAAAAAATCCTATTTCTATTGAAAAGTAAAAAAAACCTGTTGGTTAAATGTTGAAAGCATGTTGAGCATATAAATTTGTATTTTAGCTAAATATATACATATATATTAAATGTCATGTTACAGAGCATATTGGGCAGATTTATTAAACGAATTATACAAGCTAAACGTATTTTTAAAGCAAATTTTGTGAGGCCCTCTGTTGGAACAACAAAGCCAAGCCGGAGTGCAGTGAGAAATATGAATTGTATAAATGTACGAGTAGTCTTATAGAAATACTTAAACTCCTTTGTTTAGGCATAATCATTATGTTCACAACATGCGTAGGTTCAAAACACTAATCAGAAATTAAATAGCGTCTAACACATTTCAAATAAAAAATACAAACATGAAGATTAATTAAGCAGCAAGTCGTTTTATTTAGGAATAATTAAGTTTATCGAGGGTCTACCACCAGGACCTCGTAGTCAGGTACATTTACTTCCAGACCCCGATGCGGTATGTACATCACCTCGTGGGATGGATGCACTTTTCCCAGTCGTATTTCGCCCTTATACAGGCCACGTCCCGTGTAGAGTACTTCGCCATCTTCGGTGTATCCGGTTTGAAGAGCATCCGATGAGTAACTTCCATTGGTGCCTGCTACCCATTTGTAATGGCAATCGGTCAAAACTAGAACTTCCACTTCAGTGAACTGATAGGCCTGACAGCCCCAGGAACACAGAGCAGTTTTGTTCTTTGCCACATAGCTTGCTGGCAACAAATCGTCTTTCAAGTAGACGCGAGCCACAAATGTGGAGTTACCCTTGTTATCATATCCACATTTAACTACGCCTTTCGGTAGCTTTTTGGAGTTAAAATCCAGAGGAACCCATTGAACTGGCTGCTTGATTGGACTCTCGCCAGCAGCATCTTCTTTTATTGAGAAGTTTAAAAATATCCGGTATATATTACCCCTGTGACAGCTCCCTCTGCATTGCGGACACGTCAGGGATAAATTAAGCCAGCGTGTAAGACAGGATCTGTGGAAAATATGACCACAATTGACAGAAGAGAATATCACATCGTGGGGTGTGTAAAACTCGGTGCATATGGCACAAATAACTCCAAACGACGACGATGATTTAACCGGTGCTTTGGCTTCCATTGCGTTGTTTAAATGTATAGAATTTTAAATATTTCAAAATATTACTTTTTATAATGGAGGCAATGGACCGAACTAGTTACTTCGGATGGTCAGCAGTAAATGAACATCAGAAAAAAATCTATTTGAAGTAACCCCGCATCTTCATTAATATCTTAAAGATTTTACCTACTTCGGGATTTCCGTTCTTATCGAACTGACCATTCTAACAGCAGGAGTCTTGGGATAAGGTTTTTGTGAAGGCATTATCTAATTATCTTCTGGTAATACAGATAAGAAATGCGGTTACGGAAATTCTACAGACAATCAGCAATCTTTATTTACTAATATGGCGAATATTTCAGTCCTGAAAATATTGTCAAAGGGGGTTTTTCCCGAATTTTAGCAACGGGTTGCATACTTTTGAGAGCCAATGGCCTGCAATGATAAGAAAAATTGATAAACTACAATAGAAAAATGTTCTTTTAAAGACCGTTTTGGTTTTTATTTACTCGTTACCATGCTGATCAGTGATCACATTTCAAGCTAAAGCCACTGTACAATAAAATTTCGAGAGTACAAGATTCACATAAGAGATAAGTGAGGTCTAGACAAACACTTTGAGAATATGACAAAGAGCTACTGGGATTGGGAGAAATATAATCACATGGGGAATTTAAGATTCTTAAATGTATCCAACGTACATACACATAACACAGATTCGTACAATAATAAGGCGTAAGGAGATTCCAGGTTATCGTTCGGCCTGCTCGCGTGGTGTGACTACCAGGACCTCATAGGTGTTGACGTTGACCTCCTGATGGCGATGCGGGATGTACATGACCTTGTGGGAGGGATGCACTTTACCCAGTCGAAGAACGCCCTCGTAGAGTCCGCGACCCGTGTAGGTCACCTCGTGCAACTCGGAGTAGCCCGTTTTCAGGGCATCCCGCGGATAGGAGCCATGCGCACCGGGCACCCACTTGTAGTCACAGTCGTTCAGCACCAAGATCTCCACGTCATCGGTAAGGATGTGGGCCCTGCAGGCATGCGATCCGAAGGCAGCCTTCTTTTCCGGCACATAAACGGAGGGCAGGAGATCATCGTGGTAGTAGCCTCTGGCCACATACGTGGGCAAACCGTCCTCGTTGGTGCCGCACTGCACCGCTCCCTCGGGCGGCAGGTGGGCATCCGGAAAGCTGTTCCTGTCCAGATCCATGGGCACCCACTCGATGCTCTGCGCTTTGGGCGGTTCCGCATCATCGTACTCCGTGGGCTCGGCGAAGTTCAGGTACAGCCGGTGGACGCGGTTCCGGGTGCAGGCGCCCCTGCACTGCGGGCAGGTGTGCGATGTGTTTAGCCAGCGGTTGAGGCAATCCTTGTGGAAAACGTGGCCACAGCTGGCGGTCGAGAAAATGATGTCGTTCGCCCGGAAAAACTCGTTGCAAATCGCACACAGAACGTTCAGCGATGGCGATGAGTCATTTGCACAGGCTGCCCCTTCTGCGGTGGCGGTACCTTCCAAGTTTCCGCTCTCCATGGCTGCGCCAATGTTTATAGTGTCGATAAGGTATAGCCGAGTGGTGCCCTCCGGTTTTATTCCAAATTTATTTCACAATGAACGGAAAACGATTCATCTCATATTATCTTCGACCTGCTTTATTAGAGATGGAACCTTACCAAATACCAGAAATACTGTTATTTAAATTTAGAACGTTATTTTTTTAAAAATGCTGCAAAAAAAGCACAAAATAAATAAATAAAATAATTGTTTTAAAATAAGTTTTTAAATTATTCTTCACTTTAAGCCATATCGAGTACAATAACAAGTTTTGTTTCTAATAATCTTAAGATTAAAGTTTATAAAATTTAGTTGGATAATTGGCATTATTTTGAATATATAAAAAAACATATTTTAACTATTTCTTAATTTAGAAATATACAATTTAGTTAGCTTATATATGAATACATAAAATAAGTAAACAAAAATGCATATAATTATGAATAAGGTAAGCTAAATAAGATATGTGTTTAAATAAATTTCGGGTAATTACCCAAATATACATTAGGGGGATTCCCTAAACTGTTGAATTGCTGAATTGTTGAAAATTCAACAAAAAATTTCAGCAATTAAGGGAACGACCCAAAATGGTTCCTGTTGAATTTTCAAACAGCTGTTATTTGTTGAAAAATTTCACGGAACTTAAAGCATGTAAAATTTGATTTATTATTGCTAGTTACTGTCTAAAAGTGTTACCAAGGTAAAAACAACCACAAATATGCTTTCTAAGTTGATTTTAAAATAAATAATGCGTACTGGTAATACTAAAATGTTACAGAGTTGCCACGACTTTTAAAAAAAGGTGACAACTCTGGGTTTTCAGCAATTCAACAAAATTTTCAGCAGCCCCGAGGCTGATGAATTGCTGAAATTTCTGAAAGTTGACTTTGTATGGAACAGCTGATTAACAGCTGACCAAAATTTAACAATTCAGCAATTCAACAGTTTAGGGAATCCCCCTATTTATTTTCAATCAAAGAGAGCTATCGATAAGTAGCATCAGGTACATTCGATACTCAATAGATCTGGCAACGCCGTGCGGTACGTGGCTTCGGGACACGGAAAACAATTTTACGGGAAAAGCTAAACAAATTATGTACAATTCGGTTTAAAAACCATAAGATTTAGAGGCAGACACCCAAGGAACAGGAGGAGCACAAAAGGCTATATGAACTGTAAGTGGCGGGGGCGACATCCTCGTTTGTTTTCCTGTGTTCCCCAGTGTCCTTTCACTTTTAATTGCCAAGTTCAACATTCGACTACAAAGGGTAATTCAGCTGATTTACTGTTTATATGGTTACTCAATGGACACCACTAAACTTTCCCCAACCTCCCGCCGCTCCAAGAAACCGAAAAAATTGGCGCATAATATGCAAATATTGTGTTTGTTTTGGTTTGCCAAAATACAAGTATGTATGTTTGTACGCAGGTACATAGTACATATGTTTGGCACACTCACACATACGCACATTACCTGCGCTCTTTGTTTGCCGCCTATAAATAAACGGCGAAAAATGCGTACTAACTAATGCCATTTGTTGCTATTTATCTGCGCTTTGTGTACGTCAACAAAGCGTTATTATATAAACAAATACAAATCGGCCATCAGCTGTTCTTAACCCTAGATGGACTTGTTTGTTTTCAACTTTTGGCTTGGGGTCTTGAACGGAAATTATGAGTAAACTTGGGATACAACCCCTGCTGCTTCTTAGGAACTTTTTTAGAAATGAATAATGCGGTTGTATTTTACTAAAAATAATTATTTCATGTTATATATTGAAGAAAGGTTACTTAAATAATTTAATGTCAAAATGTTTCTTATCAACATACATTTGGGTAAGTAATAATTCCCATTGATAATAGTCATTTCACTTCAAAACGAAATGAAAAGAATTAAGGGATTTTTATAACTCTCTTCCTGTGCTCTCTTCTGTTATCTTTTATGCCTCTCTTTGAAGTAAACAATCTTATGCTAATATTGCATCATGCATAGCTTTACTTTCTTTATTTTCTTTTTGTATAATACAAACTAAGGATATATGATAGTGCATCCTAAAATCGAAGTAAAACCTTTAATATAGGGTTAACAGAAACGAGCCATAACGGTAATTTCACTTTCTAACAAAATGTTTGAAGAACGCGGGGACTTCCCGGAACTCTCTTCCGACTCTCCCCTGCTTTTCCGCTCTCTTTGGAGAATTCAAGTAGAACGAATATTGCATCATGCGTAGCTTCGGATTTCATCATCCTCGCGGGGCTGCTATAAAAGCAGCGTCGTTGGCTTCTTCAATTTTATTTCACCATCGCAATGCAAGCAGCAAAGACATGGCCTAAGACGAAAGCACAACTCAGCCAAATGGGCGTAGGCTAGGTCGGAATAGCAGCCAGTCGCCTCTCCAAAGCACCACCTCCTAACCGGATGCACTTGCTCTTCGATTCTTGCAGAACTCATCAACTATCCAGCATCACCATCAACCTGCACACTCACACACAGATTCCAATGATTCCAAGGATACAGTGAGGCGACCGACAATTACTAGCAGCACTATGAATAACGTACAGAGCGCCCCGAATGGCGGGGCTGGGGGCGTGGCCGTAGGTGTGGGCGTGGGCATCAAGACGGCCCGGAGCAACATCTTCAACGTGGACGGCCTGCCGCAGCAGATGGCCGCCCTGAGTGTGGACTACTCCAGCATCCGGGGCAAGGATGTCCTGGTCCAGCCCACCGACGAGCAGCTGGAGCTGCTGCAGAAGAGGCTTCAGGACCGCATAGCCGACAACTGCGGGGAGACCATCTACGAGATTGGCGTGGGCGAGGGTGAGTGCTTCCAAAATTCTTATAAAAGTTGTTATAAAAGTTAGAATATGGGTGTATTCTCAAGAAATCTTTCCTGATAGTGATTCATTCAACCTATTTCCATTTCAAAGTTTGTGAAATTTATTAGTTTCTTATTAAAAACCATTAATAAAAAAATGCACAAATGTATTTTAAAATCATACCATTTTTAGAATCATAAAAATTTAAAAAAATTAGGTTCCACCCTCATACAAAACTTTATTGATAGTGATTCATTCTATTGGATTTCAAAATTTGTGAAATTTATTAATTTCTTTTTAAAAACAATTAATAAAAAAAGTCCACAAATATATTAAAAAATCATAAAATTTTTAGAATGATAAGATATATGATATGATTGATCATTTCTTTAAGTATAAATATAAGTAAAATATATGTCTTAAACCGTACCCTTAATCTGCACCTACCTTAACTAATGGAATTCCTTTTTTCCTAATAGATGGCAGCGACAACGGCCTGAATCCGGAGCAATTTGAGGCCTCCGTGGCTACGCTACACCTTCTGGCGGCCAATATAGACGCGGATGTGGTCAAACTGCGTGAGCGACGGGCCGAGAAGGGCCAATCGGCGCAGTTCCTCATCCGAAAGCATATCGAGACGACCGACTTTATGGAGATAAGGTGAGTTAAAGCACTGATATCCGTATAAGGCCAATTTTAAAAACTTCCCGATTCTCCAGGGTGGCCGTTGTGGGCAACGTGGATGCTGGCAAGTCCACGCTGCTGGGCGTTCTCACCCACGGCGAGTTGGACAATGGACGGGGCCATGCCCGGCAGCGACTGTTCCGTCACAAGCACGAGATCGAGAGTGGGCGCACCAGCTCTGTGGGCAACGACATTCTCGGCTTCGATGGTGTGGGCAATGTGGTCAACAAGCCGGACCACGGCCACCTCGATTGGGTGAAGATCTGCGAGAACTCGGCCAAGGTGATAACCTTCATCGATCTGGCGGGGCACGAGCGCTACCTGAAAACCACCGTCTTCGGCATGACGGGTCATGCTCCCGACTTTGGCATGCTGATGGTGGGTACTTTGCTTTAGCTTAGTCGCTTTATAGAGCTCAACTCTGGATTTCTCCTTCGCAGATTGGCGCCAATGCCGGCATCATCGGCATGACTAAGGAGCATCTTGGTCTAGCTCTTGCTCTCGCCGTTCCTGTCTTTGTGGTGGTCACTAAAATCGACATGTGCCCGGCCAATGTGCTGCAGGACAACATGAAGCTGCTATTCAAGATGCTCAAATCGCAGGGCTGCCGCAAGGTGCCGGTGGTGGTGCGTTCGCACGACGATGTTGTGCTAAGCGCCACGAATTTCGTTAGCGAGCGCCTGTGCCCCATCTTCCAGGTATCGAATGTGACCGGTGATAATCTGGAGCTGCTCAAGATGTTCCTTAATCTGCTAAGCACGCGCATGGCCGGCTCGGAGAGTCTGCCGGCCGAGTTTCAAATCGACGACGTGTATTCGGTGCCGGGTGTTGGCACAGTGGTGTCCGGCACTTGCCTGCAGGGAACCATCCGGCTCAACGACGGCCTGATGCTGGGTCCCGATGCAGTGGGCGGATTCGTGCCGATCACCATCAAGAGCATCCATCGCAAGCGGATGAACGTGGCACGCGTGCGCTGCGGCCAAACGGCCAGCTTCGCGCTAAAGAAGATCAAGCGAGCGTATTTGCGCAAGGGCATGGTGATGGTGTCGCAGGATCTCAAGCCGCAGGCCTGCTGGGAGTTCGAGGGCGAGATTCTGGTGCTGCACCACCCCACAACGATATCGGCACGCTACCAGGCCATGGTCCACTGCGGCAGCATCCGCCAGACGGCCTCGATCATTCACATGTCGCGCGATTGCCTGCGAACAGGCGACAAGGCGCATGTGAAGTTCCGGTTCATCAAGCAGCCGGAGTACATACGCGCCGGCCAGCGGCTGGTCTTCCGCGAGGGACGCACCAAGGCGGTGGGCAACATCCTGCGCCCGCTGCCGAATGCCGCCGCCTCCCCCTATCGGCCCAAGCCCGCCAAGATGCAGTCGCGTTCGCAGAACGGCGGCAGCAATGGCAGCAACAACCAGCACCGCCAGCAGGGCCAGGGCAGCTCCTCGGGAGCGGGATGCAGCAAGGATGCCGGCGACGAGAAGCAGAACGGAGACAAGCGCGAGGGCGGCAGTCGGCGGGGCGGCAAGCGGAAACGAAATAATCGACCGACTCCCTCTGGCGGTGGAGCAGGCCAATCCAATGGGTCGTCTGGATTAGGTCTGCCCCTTGGCGACATTTCTGCCCCCTCCGCCGCTGAAGTCGCGCCGACGGGCCTCACCGAGTGACAATTTTGTTCTTTCTAGTTTTCTAAGCTAAAAAGTATTTTTGAAATCTATTTTCCTACTCTCCAGTCCGGACCTCTGATCTTAAGGGGCGTTTGCCTCAATAAACTGTTCCGTGTCCCGTTCTCGTCCACTGTACACTGTGCGAAATGCCAAACCGAATTCGATTTTTTTTTTGTTTTCTAGATTTAAGACTAAAGATGACAAGCTACATGAATTTTAATTTAAACATACTTTCTTTAAATAATCTCGGACTTATCGAACTCAATTATGTTCTTGTTCTTAATTTGATAACTTTTTCATTGTACTAAATTTAACTTTTTCTTATATCTTAATGAACTGACAAGACTAAAAATTTGAATTTTCTTAAGTTATACCCAATGTAAATGAAATTTGAATTTGGATATTCACCGACATGAACGAAAAAAAATGTTTATTTATAAAGTTAGAACTTTAAAGCGTTGTGAATGCATACATTAGGTTACATTTTGATTGCTTCCTTTGTAAAACTATGGTTTCAGAATGACAATCTGAATTCCCCTTCTTTTGTTATTTAGAGTTAAGATCACTTATGTCACTGGAAAATGAATAAGGACTACCTAGTTTCTCGATCCATTCAATAAAAGCAATCTTCTTGACTACAAAAAGGTAAAGGATGTGGCGTTTAATGTTCTGGCTTTAATGTTTATTCATCTGTGTTTACTAAAGCTGACTAAAATTTATCTTGCCGCGTATTTACAATTGCTGTAGTTGACCAAGTGAATTCCTAGTTCTTTTTCTTGCTATTGAGCTCCTTCTTCACTCCCTCCAGTTCTTGCCGCACATTGTTTTTGAACATGTCAACGAAGGATCTGCAATTTGGAAATGTTATTTAACTCAAGGATATCTTTTAAGGGTTTTGAACCCACTTGAAGCGCTCTGGCGTCATCTCGTGCAGTCCCTGCTCCCTGGCCAAGTCCTTGGTGCGGTACATGAGGGAAACGACCAGCTGGGCAGCCCGTCTCATGGGATAGCTCTCGGCCATGCGCTGGATGAGCTGCTCGTTGTTGGCCAGGTAGCGCATCAGCAGTCGCAGCACCATCTTGCCTGGATCCCGCCTAGAACTCTGTGTCCTTGTACTTGCGTATCAGCTGCTGCTTGAGCTTAAGCTGATTTCGCAGCAGTTCCAGTCGCTGTTGCTGCTCCTCCTTGTTGAAATCGATCCCGGGCAGCTGGCGGATTTGCTCGCGGGCGGACTCGAAGCGTTTTTGCAGCTCAAAGATCTGGAAAAGGGAACCCCCTACATATTAGAACCTTGGGAATCTCGCAATTCCTTGACCCACCTTGTGGTTGCAATCCTGCGACTCTCGCAGCTTGACGGCGTTCTCCAGGGGATCCTTTTCCACGCTGAAAACACACAAAGACACCTGGTTATATAAGGTCGCCATTTAAGTGCGCACTTGTTGACGCATTCCGGCTATTTTCGGCGTTATCCGGACAGGTTCAATGGCCTCCGAAAGTCCGTGATCACCAAACCAAACCCACCAGCGCACAATGTCGTAGATTATCGGCAGAATTTCAATGTCCAACTGGTCCACCGTCAACTGGCCACCGATGCCGTTGGATGTCTGCGTCTCCTGCGATATGGTCGGCTCGAAGGGGGAGTTGGAAGTCTGCACCAGGCCGTCGGCGGTTAGGATGGGTTTTCTGTCCTCGATCTGGTTGTTTGGCGACAAATCCATCATAAAAAAGCCGAATCGTAAATTTCCAGCGTCAGAATCAGTAGGACCTTACCGGGATGGCTCAAGAATACCGAATATCCTAAAAGCATACTTTTTCCCGCCACTAAGCTAGCTATTTACTAGCTATTTCTTATGGTAACCCTAATGTCTGGCGATGTTTACATGTCATGGAAAAACTTTACATGCATTTAAAAGGCGCGAATTTCCAAGGACTTAATTTTTAGTGAGCCAGAAAACCAGAAATTTTTGCATCAACATGATCAACTTCGACTTTCCCAGGGATGTGATCTCGTATATCCACCGGGCTGGCAGGACGTCCAGGGGGAGCAACAAGGGATCCGTCTTATCCTTTGTGAACCTGAAGGAGGCTGATGTGAACGAAAAATTTATTTTAAAACTGTTCCTTATTTTTTTTTTAATCTTTTATAGTAAAAGATAAAATAGTTTTTTTTTACATGCTTATTTTGTGATTTGTTATGTATTGTTTAATATTATAGAGGCATTGATTTATTATACTCCTGTTTAACATGCAAAAAATCAAATGAAATAAAAGATACAATATAAAAATGTAGGTAAGTTTTGAAAGAAATGGTTAATTTAACGTTATGAAGACATATGTACAATTATTATTGCAATTAAAATTTTGTTACAGGATACAATATACAAGATTCACAAACAATTTAATAACTAAAAATACAAGGTCCAATAAAAGTTATTCTAGGACTTTTCGGGCGGCGGATGGAGCGGCGATTTGGGCGGAGGCGTGGCCGACTTGCTGCAGGAAACAAATTCCTTGCTGGGCTGCACACAGCGATTTTCGCGATCGTAGATGCCGAGGAAGGTGCGGCAGTTGGAGCAGTACAGGTACTCCTTGTTATCCCCGGACATCAGGCAGGGCAGGAAGCAGAGGGGCCAGCAGGAGACGACCCAGGCGGCACAGCAGCCGTTGTCCGCGATCTCCGAGGCGGCCTTGATCAGCGGTCGCTTGCTGCAGGCGCAGCAGGGGCAGAAGATGCGACCCTCCGCCGGAGACCAGCGCTCAATGGAGGCCCGATAGCAGCTCCTTCGGTGCGACGTCGCCTTGTCCAAGGGACCTGGACATGGACACGGGCAGCTGGGCTTCTCCGCCTTCGAGGATGCCCCACTGCAGGCCGCTGGCTCCCCAGCGCCGGAGCCACCACTCCGCGTAGAACTCTTCTTCTTGGCCATGTCTTTCCATTTTAAATATTAACTAAATAAATATTAATATTCTTTGAGCAAGAAACTCACATTTGTCCGCCTCCTCGGCCATCTGGGACTCCGAGAGCCCAGTCATCTTGCTAATCTTCGAGAGACGCTCTTCGCTGATGCCATGATCGGCGGCCAGCTTGTGCAGATTCTTGATCTTGTCACTGGTCACCGCGTAGATCTCTGGGTGGTCCTGCTTGATATGGCGCACCAGTTCACTAGTATCATAGCGGGAGCAACGAATCACCTTCATGCAGTGCAGACAGCGGAGGGACTGCATATCACTGGGTTGTGGAGTCGCCTGGGACATCGCTTTATTTACTATCTAATTCTAGGCTTATTTTACTAAAAAGAGCTTTTGGTTGGTTGCCAGGCCGGTGCGAATAAACCGAATCACCTTTGACGTCGACATAAAGTCGCTTACTCACAGCCTCCTTAGGGAAACAGGAATGATGGATAGACTATATGTATTTTTCCTATTATATTTAAGCCTTTTAAGAATAGTTACAAAGGCCTAACTATAATTTCTAAAATATTTTTATACCCGTTTTTAGAGGTATTCTATTGGGTTGGCATATATTTGTATTTGGTTCTACACATATAAGAATGAACATAAATATAACTTTGCAGAGGGTATTTTAATGCAAGCTAAAAGATTGCTACCAAGAGCAGGAGACAGACTGACACCAAAAATATAGATGTTTTTACAATTTAAATCAAAATATGTTTTTACTTTAGATAGAAAAATTTAAATTTTAAGATTAAAGAAAATAACATTAAAACACAAGAGAGTCGAGTACCTCGACTATCAAATACCCTTTGCTGAAACTGAGAATAAAAACACTCAATTTAATAACGCCAAAATTTTCTCTGTGTATGGTTCATAAATATATTTGTGCCACTAGTCATTTATAAAACGGAAAAAATTACAGTGAGAAAACCCCAAATATGTCATGCGATTAATTCGTACGTCAATCTATATTCTTTATCTCATTAAAATATATTCTATATTTTGGCATTGCCGAAATGTAGAACAGATTAGGTTTAAAAGTTCCAGATTCGTCTCGGTTTAAGCTCAGTTTAATTTCGATGTTTCAACTTTCAACACAATGAAGCCCGGGATTTTAGTAGTTCTTCTGGCGATTTCGGCATTGGAGGGGCTATCTCCTGGATACGGTGCCAATTTACCGCAGGAAAATTTGGAAACAAAGTGTAGTGGATATTGCTTTACGATTTTAAAGCCATTACTGGATAATGCTGTTCTATCAAAATCAGCGGGTGATGGAAGTATTATCACAGACCTGAAAATTAAATTGGCGATTGCAGAAAATCAAATTAAATCCAATGAAGCTCTTAAGAATTTGGAAAGCCAGTTGGCAAACTCCGAGTGCCAAGTAAAAATCAAAGACGTTATAATTGTGAAAGATAAGGAAATACATGAAAAAACGGAACAATTAAAATGCAAGGATACGGAAATAGACGTTCAAAATAAACAAATAAAATATTATAGTGAAAAAGTAGACAATATGACGGAAATTATCAAAAACTTACAGACTCAGTTAGTAAATGCTGAGGCTCAAATTAAAATCAACGACAAGGAAATTAATGACAAAAATGAACAAATTAAAAACAACGAAAACCAAATTAAGGATCAAACTAATCAGATCAAAAACTATGCAGAAGAACTTATTATTAAAACTAATGCAGTTAAGGACTTGAGTGCACAGATTTCGACAAAGGATAACCAGATCAATGCGCTCAACAATCAGATTAAATCGGTTTCTGAAAATACGGAAATTATCAAAAACTTACAGATTCAGTTAGTAAATGCTGAGGCTCAAATTAAAATCAACGACAAGGAAATTAATGACAAAAGTAAACAAATTAAAAACAACGAAAACCAAATTAAGGATCAAACTAATCAGATTAAAAACTGTGCAGAAGAACTTATTATTAAAACTAATGCAGTTAAGGACTTGAGTGCACAGATTTCGACAAAGGATAACCAGATCAATAGGCTCAGCAATCAGATTAAATCGGTTTCTGAAAATATTTTGAAGTTTAATGGAACGGATGAGTGTCCTAAAAGCGGTCCAAGTGGCATTTACGTATTAAAAGTCCCCGGAAATGTTCTAATGGAAGTTCCCTGCAACTCTACTGGCTGGATTGTGGTCCTCAGGCGGCAGGACGGATCTGTAGACTTTAAACGCAGTTGGAAGGAATATAAGGAAGGCTTTGGCAACTTAACAGGCGAATTTTTTATTGGCCTTGAGAAACTACACCAGTTGACAAAGAGAAAACCTCATGAACTCTACATCAAGTTAGTAAATGTACATGGAGAGGTTATCTACGCGCAGTACGATAACTTCAAGGTTAGCTCCGAAGAAAACAAGTATCATCTAGACTCGATTGGTACATACTCTGGTACAGCCAAAGATTCCCTAAGATGCAATGATGGACATTCTTTTTCGACAATTGATCGAGATAATGACGTGTGTCCGCATAATTGTGCTGAATCTTACTCTAGCGGCGGTGGCTGGTGGTACAACTGTTGTTCTTACAGGTACATATATGATCAGAAAAAAAATATTTTTTAAATGCCTTACTTAAAATTTAAATTACAGTTTTCCTACGGGAAAGTTCTACAAGGATGGAATATCACCAAGCGGACGAGGAATAAATTGGTATCACTATCGCAACGAAGATACGACCTCATTTATATTTGTTGAAATGTTGATTAAGCCTAAATTATTATAAATGCTAAAAATAATGTAAATATATCTAAAACCATCATTAAACAAAAACATGTATAAAAGTAAGCAAATATTTTCCAAATTAATTCTGATTTGATCGATTCTATGAATAAACAAGAGAAACGCTATAGTCGAGTGGCTCGTCTGTTAAATACCCGTTACTCAGCTTAACAACTTTAATATAAATTGACTTCTCGTTTTTTTTTCGCGCGCCCCTTTGAAATAATTTTGATTTTAAAGAACTTTTAAACAAGCCTGGCGCCCACATCTTTACAGATTTTGTAAAAGTTTAAAAGCCATTTTGTTCTGTTTATTAAAACCTATCGAAATGAAGACCAAAATTTTAAAATCGTGCAATCCATTAAAAAGTTATAAGCAAAAAATTAAATGGCCGCTGGATGAAGCCACTAGCTTTGACGATGGCATATCTCCATCTCCCTCGCACTCCCTTTAGCTGAGTAACGGGTATCTGATAGTCGAATTACTCGACTATAGCGTTCTCTCTTTTTTAAAAGCTTGTATTGATTTCCTTTATCTATTTAGAGAGGTTTACCTTAATTAATTCATGAAATTTGACATTTTAATCAATGGTTTTCACTTCATATGCTTACCCGCAGAAGTTGCTGAAAGGAAACTGCTCACTCACTCGTTTCCCATAAACTTTAAACCAACATCGGCAGCCGCACACATTAGGATTTATTTTATGCAGATGTGTGAATTGAAAACCCTCGACATCAATCAGCTTAAGCTGTATGAGAGCGCCTGCCTTTAATAAAGCAGAGACCAGCAGGTACTGCCAGTGTTATTGTGTTATTCATGGGAGTGGAGGAGTTATACCTCCCTCCCGTGGACTTATCGACTTAATCCAATCGCCTTCAAGCACCCTGTATCCATAATGCTCTTTGGCTGCGTCAACATTTTATTGTCATTTTCATTTTCCAACGCCCCGCAGCCCCTTCACCGCAATCGGTTCCGTTCACGTGCCACGCCCCCCTAACCCACCGCCCAAACGATTTTCAAGGGGCGCCCAACATCTCCTCCGTTTTTTTAAGGCTTTGAGTGTGTTTTTCAACATTTTGTCAAAATTGATTTTTTACTGCACTTACGGCATGATGCGACCATTTTGGGGGTTCCACATGGCTCCACATGGTTCCGTGGGGCTTACGCACAGAGAAAAATTATATTTGGGAGAACTTTCAAAATTACTTTAAAATGACTTCATTCACTATTAGGGGAGTAGACCTTGAAATCAAGACAATTTTTATCGAGTACAAATTTAATATGGATTTAAGTATAAATTTAAGATTTTTTTAAACATTACGATATCTTTCAATGGTATAAATAAAAGTTTATAATCTAAAATTTTAAAACAATTATTTAAAGCACTCTTTAAAAAAAAGTTTACTTATGTATTGAATATTTGTTTATTGTAAATAAAAAAGTGTTTTAGTAAGACGTCTGGTCATATGAATCTTAAGTTAGATATAACAAATTAATAAAATCAAAGCATTGTTGAAGATCCAATAGGTGTTCATTTAATTAACAAATTATTAGGTCCTCCTGAATCTCTATAACATACGTTCTCTGTTTTGTAATTTGTAATGTAAAATATGTAAAATACATGAGTACTTTAAGCATACTTTTCTGTGTAAACTCCCCCTCCCCAGCCATGTATGACTGCTACCCCATTTTACCTTTTTAGCTCCGGCTTCGCTATTGCTCATACGCCGCGTTGTACGCACAAAGAAAGTCGCACCTAAAAAGCCAACGCGTGTCGCTGTCATTTTCCCCAATGCGTCTGCATTTATTGACTTTTTTGTTGCTGCTCGTACACAGTTCGCTTCCCCTTTTCTCTGTCTCCATTATATTTTTCGCCGTTGTTGGTTTTTTGTCTACGCCCTCGAAGATGTCATTAGAGGCAGTAAAAAGAATCCTGCCACAGAATCCTTTGGAGGAAATGCGTGGCCGGAGGCTGTGGGCGATTTGCATTTGCCGCCGGATACGTTTTCGCTGACATACATAAGTGCTGCGTATAATTTGACTCGATTCTCGTTTATTCTGTAGCTTTAGCTTTAGATTTAGCCGTACTTACATATACACAATACATCGTACACCCAATGTCTAGGACTAATATAAAAATACATTTCATTTGTTTACCATTTTGTTTCTTGTTTCTTGACTCTCGGTTTCTTTTGTTTTGTTTGTTTTGCGTTTGGTTTGGAAGCTTTGGAAGCTTGGTTGTTAACATTTGCTTTCTTCGAATTCGATTTGTGTGCATCTCCCCCCGTCTTCGTCGTCCTCGTTGTCGTCTTAAGTATTTCAGCAAAGTCCTCCGGTTCTTGGTCAGTTTCTGGGATTATTTCTTAAATTTCTCTGTATTTGATCTGTGCAATTAATGTGTGTAAAATCATCCTAGCCTAGACGTGTAAAATTGGACTATGCTTAAATTATGTACACTGGATCATAGTGGGTTAACTAGATGGGTGGTCACCGCTCGCTTTCCTTTTCGTTCGCCCCTCTTAACTTAGCTTTCCTTACGCACGCACACACACTTTGAGGCACATTCAGTTTTGAATCATTTTACAAATTTATAAAGTTTGCAACAAACAACTCTCCAGTACCCCCCGTCTGCCCCTCCTCTTTCGCTACAAACTAATTGTAAAAATTAAAAATTGATTTACCCGCTTTTGCAGCCCAAATAACAGTTGGCTTCGGGCCAAAACGGGTTATCTCCCCGCCTCCCCAGACAACTCCTGCAAGTTTAATGCATTTATCACTATTTTCCGGCCTCGGGTGGAGTTGAGGGCTGGGGCTTTTCCAGCGGGCTTTCCGGGGACTTAGAGCGTGTTCTGCTTGGCAGCATCGCCGCTTTTGGCAGTCGCGTCGGGTCGCGAACGTGGGCGCCGCTTGGGCTGCAGCGAGTAGAGGCGTCCGCTGCGAGCCCGCGTTTGTGGCTCACACTCCAGGCGCCACGTGCCAGGGCCGCCGCTGAAAGGGGGGTTTAAAAAGGAGAGGAGGGGGTTTAGTCGTCTGCTTCAGAACTGGGCTCCGCAAGGATACTCACTTTATCTCCAGCTTGGCCAGGCGCTGCTTGATCTTGGCCTGGCTGGCCGTGTACTCCGCCAGGAGTCGGGCCAGCCGCATATTGAGGTTCTCCACCGACAGCTCCAGCTTCTCAATGCCGCCCTCAATGCTGTCGTGCACCCTTTGTGAATCTGTAAATGGAAATGGGTAATGGGAAAATTGTACATTTAATTTTCCAGATAAATTTGTAAAGAGATTCCAAATAAATAATAGAAAATACTTAGTGGATTTTTTGTTAAGGTTTTGTTAAGATTACTTAGTGAGAAACTTTAGCAAGATTCTTTGAAATGTCTTCAGTACACAGAGAAAAAATACCAAAAATAATCATCCATCGGGTATTTTTTCATATCAATTTCGGCCCATCTGTTTTCATATCAAAATGATATTTCCGAACATATGATTTTGTACCATATTGATATGAAATCATACCATTTTGTTATGGAAAAATTGATATGAAACAATATCAGTTCCATATTGTTCCGTTTTTTTCTCTGTGTAGGTGTTTCATTTTAATAGAAACTGGTTAATCTTTAATAAATTTGTGATTTAACATTTTAAAAGAACTAAGAAGTGAGGCATTTCTTAACGTATAAATTACATTAATTTATGATTTTTAAGGACCAACAATTAAAACAATAAATCGGAAGCTATTTAATCATGCAAAAATAACCATTGATTGAATGCTAACAGATTTAACACATTGAAATGAATAGGGCCATTCATTTAATTGCGGCCGAAACTAATATTAACCCACATGTCGTATACGTATTTTCTGATGACTACATTTGATTAACGAACTTACCGGCGAATATCTGCTCATCCAGCAAGCCATCCTTCCGCAGCAGCTGGCATCCTCGCTGGGTGAGCGTGGACCTGGCCTCCGGATAGTCGGACAGCGTTTCCCACAAGTCCCTCTTCGCCAGGCAGAAGAGATCCGAGTAGCCCAGGGATCTCACGTTGGCGGTGCGCCGGTTGCCCGTCCGATTGCCCGCAATCTCCAGCACGGACACCTCGCCGAACACGGAACCCGCGCCCAAGGTGGCCAGCACGGTGATGCCATCGTCGCCGACGACGGAGAGCTTGCCCCGCTTCACGATATACATCTCCTTGCCGACATCGCCCTTCCGGCAGATGTAGTCGCCCGGACTGAAGACCTGCAGCTTGAGCTTCAGGACCAGGGCCTCCAGGAGACCCGGCTCGGTGTCGTGGAAGATCCGCACCTGCTTCAGCGTGTCCATGTGCACCTGGATGGCGATCTCCGCCTTCAGCTTGTCCGGCAGGGCGGCCAGCACCCGCTCCTCGTCCAGCGCCCCACTCTGCGACCAGGTGTAAGCGAACCACCGGATGACCCGGGCCTCCAGCTCGTGACCCACGCGCCGGAAGGCCATGTACTGCTTGACGCCGTCCATGCGATTCTGGAACTCCACGCGGGCCACATTCATGTTGGAGATCATGGAGCCAATGTTACCTGGGGATGGGGAAAATAGGACGATGGGGGAAACTTAGTTAATGAACGAGCAGGGCGGCGGCAATATATCTTGTCCATTTCATAACCGGTTCGGCCCACCCACACCCGCAATCGAGAGTGGAGAGTGGAATGAAACCGAAGGAGCTGGCAGTGTTCCAGGCCACTCATGGATTCCGGCGTGCGGATAACGTGGCACAAAGGCGACTAATGGCGACACTTCCGGTGCCAGAGTCAAACACACACATCCGCAGAAATGGTGAAATGGCGGAGCTGCCTCGGGGCACTCAGCAAAAAATAGATCCCAAAGTTGTGGTTGGTTCCTTTTGCTAACAGATTTGCGTTAAAAAAACATAAAACCTAACTTTGTAGACTTTTTCTTGGCAATATGTAATGTACAGTTAAAGATGATGGCTGCCGTACGACAGCTATAAAACACCAAACCTTTAATTTGTTATACTTTTTAAACAAGAATCAATAATTATAAACGCTTCATTAAATTTTGGATTAACAAAAATATGATTGAAATATTTAAAGCATATTTTTAAATTTCTTTAAAATGGGTAATTAAAATAAAAAATATTAACTTATTTTAAAAATGTAAATTACAGTTTATTGTTTTAATTAACAGTATAAAATAAATATCAAAGTTGTTTTTGTATATTTGGTAAAATAATAAATATGAATTGATTTTAAATCTGTAGTTTTGCCTACTTTTAGGCATCATAAATATTGATTTTAAATCACTCGAGATTTCTGTTTAGCCCCAGAATTTCGTTTATCATGTTTTTGATGGTATATTGGTTGATATATTATCTTTAAAGATTTACTATCAATTTCCCATTATTATTTCACTATTTCTCCGAGTGTGCCCGTCAAATTGTCCTGTCCAAACGAACTCGGCATTCATCACAGTAAGTAAATTTGTTTGCAGAGCGACGACGAGGATGAGGCGTTGAAATGATGGGATCTGGGGGACTGGCAGCTGCTGGGAATGCGGGAATGCGCCTTACGCCTTGCTCCCAGCCACCGCCGCCCATTTGGGGACGGTAATGGCAGCGATAAGGAGGACGACAAAAATGATAAAAAGGCACGTTTGCCGAAAAAAAAAACAGGAAAGAGATGTCGGGGGGCGACGGCAACAAATCAACCCGGCAAAACAAAACAAAATGGCATGGAACCGAATAGGACAGAACAGAACTGAACCGACTGAAGGCGTAATGAATAATGTGGGTCGTCAGGGGCGGGAGTGGGAGTGGGCGTGGCGGGGTGTTCGTGTGGGTCCCTGACGTGCGTGGCTGTAAATTAATACCCATTGATGTCACAGATGTCACTCTGGAACCAATTAAACGATCAGACGAAATATTTGCGTAAACAAGCGCAAACAGAGGACCCGAAAGGGATTTTCCAGGCAGTCACCCCTGAAATCCCCAGAAATACTCACCCACAATGGTGGCGAAGATGAGGACGCCGGCCAGGAAGTCGGCCACCACGAACAGATACTCCACATCGTTCTCAGGCGTCGGAGTCTCGCCAATTGTGGTCAGCGTCAGCGTGGACCAGTAGAAGCTATAGATGTACTGCCGCTGGAGCGTGTTGTTCCGCGTCCCGTTCAGATTGTAGACCCACGAGTCGGAGCTGAAGCCAATCTCGTAGCTGATGGCGAAGTACATGCAGGCGTTCCAGTGGATCAGCACCAGGATGGCCAGCACCACCTTGCAGATGCGGAATGCATTCGGATACCCGGTGGCCGTCTCCGTGCGATCGAACCACTCCCACAGCCGGTTGATCCGGAGCAGTCGATTTAGACGCACTATCACGGGACACGGCAGGTACAGGCTGGAGCAGGTCTCCGGCGGCCACCAGATGTAGGCCAGGTCCGTGGGCAGCATCGACAGCACGTCCAGATACCAGCCCTTCGTGTGGAAGTAGTGCCGCCGCAGCCTAAAGGCATCCCGCACGAGGAGCCCCTGGTCCAGAAAGCCTGCGGAGCGTGAGGGCGGAAACAATGGGGTTTAGTTTTGTGGCTGTGAGGTGACCTAGAGACTTACTCCGGGCGATGTGGATAAGGATATGCATATGGACATGGATGTGGATGTGGATGTGGATGTGGTGACTCTGCCATTGTCTCAGTCGTGCCTTTTTGGCTTTTGCCTGCGCCATGCGGCGACAGTTTTTTATAGTTCTTTGGATTTTTAACGGTTTGATGGCAAGCATGCATGGAAGAACAGTACCCTGGGATCCCAAGAGTTCCACGATTTACAAAAAGTATGCTTTCATTATATCCATATGTGAAAATAGCTACCCTAAGTAACATTTTCTCGTTCTTTCTCAAATTTAAAGTAGAGTTTAAAGTTAAAATTGTAATATCGTATGGGAAATCAGAATTTATTTTCATTTTATCAAGGAATTTTTGAAAATTAAATTTTAAGTAGAAGTTACTTTTTAAAATTGACCCTTAAAATTTGTAAAAAACAAAGTTCTTAGAAAGTTTAAGAATTGATGTCATGATGATTTTATAAGTTTATTGTATTGATTTTAGTTTTCTCAAGTTTGCCATAACCCTAAAAATTGTAGAGTGACTAACTCAACTCCTTGTAGCATAATAATAATAATAAATCCTCAACTGTCGTTTACACTGTGGCATATTCCCAGGTCGAAACGGATAAGCGGTACCAGAACGTTTGTTGCTATTGTACAAAATGTCAAGGTTGGCTTATCCCCTGCATTTGGCAACTCAACCACACCCACAATCCAGAGCTCACAGGACTCGCATATGTGTGTGGATTTGGATTCAGGGGCAGAAATGGGATTCGCATGCGTGCCAAATGGCTTTGCCGACAGCATCGCTTGCCATTGTCTGAAGGCGGCTTAGTGCGGGTCTCATTTGCATAGGTAAATCTCAAATCTGAAACCCGCAACGGGGAACGGGAAATGGGGACAGAACTGGGACTGGAAAATGGGCGATGTTGATGTGGATGAGGCTCACCCTCGTGCATGTGGACGAGCGTATCCAGCAGATAGATGAAGTCGCACAGGTAGTCCAGTGTGTACCACACGGCGGGAGCACTCTTATTGATCTCCCAGAAGACAGCTCGCCCCACCACGAAGATGATATTGTAAAGCACCGCCAGCGAAACGATGGCCAGCCACTGCAAAGGAGTCATTTTATACATTCATCAATTAATACGGAATTAAAGATGTGCAATAATTTAAGATAATTTTATGGATATTTCATGTTAATTGCTTCTCTGTATTGAGTGTTTTCCTCTTTTTCTACAATTTGGCGTTTGAATCACCGTAAAAGGTATTCGAAAGCGAATATTTTTGCTGTTAAAATAAGAACTTAGTGTTAGGGAATTAATTTATAAATTCGCTTATAAGTAGCCTTACAAATTGAAATTAAATATTTTTAAAACAAAATTTGAAATATTTTTAGGTACAGCAATTGTAATTAAATGGTATTGTAGTTCACAAACATTGCTAATGGCCTAATTACCAATCGATCTTTAATTTAAAGTCTCTTTTTATATACTACTCATTTATATTAATTACAAGTAGGAATCAATCATCAAATAGTATCAAGTTTTGGTATGTGCTAAAGTTCACTTACCCTGTAATGCGACTGCAGGGTGGGATCCACGGACAGTCGGTTGCACAGGACACTGGAGCCCCGAATTTCGCTGGAGAGCGCCGCATCCTCCATGGCCGGACAACCCTTGCCAATCTTGTCTGTGTTCGTGGTATTGGAGAACTTCTCGAGGAACCAGTCCGGCGGTTTGGGGCGATTCCTTTTAGTCAGACGCTGGCGCAGAGCTTGCAGGGTGCGTCTTAAAGCCGATGGTTTGCTCCTTTTGCTTGGTTCCTACACAGAGAAAAACAACGCAAGAAATATGGAATGCTTAAGTTTTTGATATCGAAAAGGATAACACTATGCAGCATCAAAAATTAACCTCGATGGATGCTATATTTTTGGATTCGTTACGAATTCCCAAGTTAAACTGCGTTTTCCAAAAAGTTCCCCGACGCAAGGATTCTTAGCAAAAGGACCTCAAAGTTCGAAAAATGCTGAAATTGGCCAACTTTGCGGAGCTCTCAGAGGCAAATGGATGCATGGTTTGATTCGATGTTAAAGTTTTTTAAAAGATACACCCTTTATCTTTTAAACCCCATACATAAAATAATTTTAGGATTTTTTTTAAGGCAGAAATAAATTCCAAAAAACATAGTCTAAAAACTGAAAAACATACAGCTGCGGTCAATATAGTAGCAGTGTTGCCGCCTTGTGTTTTTAAAAGTTTGATGTTGTAATTTTTTCTTATCCAATTAGTCTAATAGTAAAATAATAATCAATACAATATTACCAGGAAAAGATCAATTACAACAACAAACTTTTAAATACACAGGGCGGCAACACTACTACCATTTTGACCGCTGCTGTATACTTTTATGTTTTTTGACTATGTTTTCTAGAATTTGTTTCTGCCTTTAAAAAAATCTTAAAAATTTTTTAGGTATGGGGTTTAAAAGATAAAGGGTGTATCTTTTAAAAAACTTTAACATCGAATCAAACCATGCATCCATTTGCCTCTGAGAGCTCCGCAAAGTTGGCCAATTTCAGCATTTTTCGAACTTTGAGGTCCTTTTGCTAAGAATCCTTGCGTCGGGGAACTTTTTGGAAAACGCAGTTTAACTTGGGAATTCGTAACGAATCCAAAAATATAGCATCCATCGAGGTAAATTTAAAAAGCACTAAAAATGCTGCACAGTGTAATTATCTTTAGATTAGATTTTACTTTACTTCAATATTATTTAATTCTTGGGTATTGGTTAAAACTTTACATATCGGTATTACAAATGAATATTTTTCTTTCCCTCTGTGCAATCGAAAATGGTTTAGGAGTGGGACGCACTGACATAAGTTTAGGGAAAAGTTTCGCCGAACGCTCACTAATTGAAGCGTTTTAGTGCTCGGGTTATGGGTATCTCTTTTTTCTGGCTCTTCCCCTTCTAACCACATTAAAACTTGGTCAGCATCCAAGTTTGGTGCTTAAATTTTGTTATGTCTGCCAACCGAATGACGCGGCGAATCGCTAGACAGCTTTAGGGGTAACATTTAAAGCGAACTGTAAACCTAGTAAAGTACAGATTTCATGCTATTCGGAAAGGGTTTTTATAAAACTCGCAACAATTAAAAGTGTTTTCACAACGAAAAAAGATAATGTGGTAGGGGTTGTCCGAATTACAAATTAAAAGGGGTATAAGTTTGGGATTTATTTTTTGGATTCTCAAATTTCCCGAAACATTTAAAAATATTAAGTCCAATAGTTACACCTCTTTTATGTTTATAAATGATAATGTAATTGTAAACTTTTATAAAAAGTCCGAAGGACTTTAGTTTCCTGTGTATTATATTTTAATTTTAATTGTTTAACAAAAAGCTTCAATAAATAAATTGAACAAATTTCAAATAAAATACTCTGAAAAATCTGTGGCTTCCAAGAAGTATAACTAAGTAGTCTAACCGTTTTAAGATCTTCCTCTGAGTTCCAACTTCCTCTTTTGAGTGCATTTAAGATGTGTCCTTGACATTGTAATAGACGCTAATCAGTTATCGGCAGCGGTTAATCTGTTAAGCCATTTTTAGTTGAGGAAAAAAATAAAAAAAACGCGAGGGAAAGCGCCGTACATTTTTCCGATTAGAGTAACTTGTATTCTAACCTTTTAAAGGTCCCTTTCTATGTTCCAATTTCCTATTTTGTGTGCATTAAAGGCGTGTGCCTGACAGTCTAATAAACGCTTATCAGTTGCCGGCAGCGGTTAATCCATTAAGCCATCTTTAGTTCGAGAGAAAAAATGGAAAAGCGCGGGGAAAAGCGCTGTAAATATGACGCATACGCCTCGTTGGGCGGGCAATGGCAAATGGCAAATGACAATGCAATGCCACGCCCCCCGCTGCGGGTGTGTGTGTGCCTGTGTGTGTAAGTAGGTTCGAAGGCCACATATACGTATAGCAGATGTGTGTGTGTGGGTATGTGTAGGTGGATTTACCGCATCTGTTTGCTGTCCCGTTATGGCAGATATATCCAGCGACTGCACCATGGTTTTGACTTTGAAATGTCGCATACAAATCGAGTGTCGTCTCCTTCTCTCGTTCTCTCCCTCTCTCGTCTCCTTTAACTGGCAATCTTCCCTCTCACTTCCGCCTTAGAACTTCCGATTTTGGCCTGAGGCAATAACAATAACGGCGACAATAACGGTTAGTTTTTGGTCAACAGCTGCGCGCATGCGCTCCGTTGCGTCGGGCGGACTTTTCAAACTGCTCAAACCGTTCACACTGATAACTGCCGCCAAAACACTTGACTTGGCCAAGGCGAGGCAGCGACGCCGGCAGCGAAGTCGCCACTGACCAAACCACGACATCCATACACAATAAACCACAGTGGAACTTCCGTAACAAGAACTATAAGCTTTCGAATTTGTACCACTTCTGAGCTGAATGTTTCTCAATAATATTAAAACAAAAATATTAAAAAAAAATATTAAAAAATATTTCATAATAAAGAAAGCTATATGAAAGAAATTTTCAAAATGTTCAAATTAATTTTTATTAAAAACAAAAATATTTTTTCAATCTGATTTTGTGTTTTTTAGTTTGTAACAAATTAAATAAGCTTTATAAATAACCAAAAAATTTACACTTGAAGTAAAAGTATGTATATATTTATTTGAGCTACCAAAAATTATAAAAAAGAAAGTCCGTGTTACAGAAGTTCGACTGTACCGCACAATAGTAAAAACCGAGTGGCCTGTTTGCTAGCTGTTGTTGTCGATTCGGAATGCTGTTTTGCAATTTTCTTAATTTGCATCGCCACTCATCGCGCTGCCGCGTTTTAATTAATTAACTTGCACCACCGACGGATGAAGTTGAAGTCTCCGGTGACTTTGGTCCTTCAGCGTCCAGAAGAATATCCACTTGGTTCCAAGTGAATCGACAAGATTGATGACACCGGCCGGCGTTTGTCGTTTTAGTCTAAATGCTTTTTAATTGCCCGGGCCAAGTTGGTTTCAATTAGGCTGAGAGGCAGCGTTTTCGCACGCGGGCAGCCAGGGGTTAATGTCGGGCGCCTAGTGCATAAATTAATTGCAATTCATTTGACGGATAGCCGGTGCGTTAGATCGGTTTTCCTGTTAGCCAGTTGTATAATTTTGATTTTCAATGAGCTCATCACTGGTCGGTAATTTGCCAAATGCAAGGTTATGCACAAAATTCGAGCGGCTTTTGGTTTATACATTTAACTTTTGGCCGTACTTGAAGCTGGCATCGAAATCGAAACACTGACCCAGCGAACCAACATTGGTATTATCATCGGACCAGCGCCCTGATTGGCATTCATATCGCGCAGGCAGCGTGGAACTCACAATAAATTTCCATAATTGCGAGTCCGTTAGGCCGAATCGGCCCAAACCCCTCTTTTACACCTGCCAGCTGACTTTATGTTAAGCAAATCAAGCGTTTTCATATCGCCGTTTATGGCATGCGTGGGCGTTTTATGCTCACCCCATAAAAACATGACTGAGCCAAGGCATTATAACATAAAAATCGGGTTAGAAAAGACCAAATAGCTGACCCGTAATTGAGGAAATCAAATGGAAAGAGTTGTAAACTGAGGAAGCTAAGGAAATATATTCCGAAACGTTTTGGAGTTATTTTTAATGGAAATTTACTAGGGGTGGTAGATTACAATTGAAGAGTTAGGAACTCTATAAATCAATGGGTAAAATGTTCCCAAGAATAAATAGAAACTTCACCAATTAACTCTTATGGGTTGTTTGATATCTAATTGCCCTATGGTATCTAATGTCTCTATGGCTTCTTTTTGAATCATGAAGTCTGCTGCCCTTAGTGTGATCCCTAGTAAACTAAAGCAATGAATTGAAGAGCAGTTTCCGGTGGAGAAAGTGCTTGAAATTCAATACACGATAGGTTGGATGAATAACAGCTATTCGATATCTTATCACTTGATGGATTCGAAGGTTTAACCCCTTTGTTTTTCGAAACCCGTGCACTTTATCACTGGGCTGCTATTGATACAGCCCCTAGTTGAATATTTATTTATATTGATTGTGATTTCGATGGGAACGTGGGAAATTATGCAAATTGCCGCGCAGATTGGATGACGATGACCGTAAGCTGGATGCTTATCGGAGGGGCGGGCAACAAGCGATGGTCTAAACGATAACAAGGTCCGTTTAATAAACTGACTACACTCAGAAAAAAAATCGCCCTGAATTTTAGAAAATCGCCATACTTTTTAAGCCAAAGGCAGCTCGCCTTGCCTTTTAGAAAAAATATTTCTAAAAATTAGAAAAAAAATTTCTAAAATTTAGGGTTAGTTTTTTGCAAAATTGAATAAGAAGAAGAAAAAAAAGTCGGGGAATCGGGAGTTATGCCGACTCCACCCCTCTGTCGGTGTGGGGTGTTGTTGTTGGGGTTCTCGTTTCTCAACTTATTTTTCTCTCCTCTATTTAAACACATGGATGACGTCACGATGCTTGTACACAAACACACTTTTAATCTTAAATTGTAACTGAAATAATAACTGAAATTATTATATTATTTATTAATGATAAACATAAAAATCAAATAACTTACTATCTGGAGAAAAACATTTTGGTCGCTCGCGGGATTCGAACCCCTTACCTCACAGTTTGCAGTCAAACACTCTACTAGCTGCGCCAGGGAAGCATCACGAGAGGCGCTGTACAAAGTACATTCTCATTCTGTTCTCTTGGGTTCTAGGTTTATACTCTTATTTATCCATTATGTGTGTGTTAGCTTACCTAAATCCTTATTTGTATTAAAGTATACATTTTAATGCGCAAAAAAAAAAAAAGACGCAAAAAATGTCCGCCTCGACGTGGGATCGAACACACGCTTCCGAATATAAGCGTAGAAAACAAATAATCCGCTCGCATTAGACCCCTAGGCTACCGATTGGGCCAATTTCCTAAAATGTAAGGCGATTTTTTCTTAGTTTGAAAGAAAAATTTCTGAATAACAGAAAATTTTTCTAAAAGTGGAGAACAAGAGGAGTTGATCTAATCAGGGTAAGTTTTTCTTATTATTTAGAAAAATATTTCTGAAAAATAGAAATATTTTCTGAATTTCAAGGCGATTTTCAAAGTATGGCGATTTTCTAAAATTTAGGGCGATTTTTTTTCTGAGTGTACGAGTATATCCCCCCTTCCCCTTCGATGTCCTGATTGCTGTGTTTTTCCTTTAAAAGTTACAAGGGAAACCCTCATCAACATGGAAATCCAGTTGCCACTGTTTTTCGTTTTCTTTTTTTGTTATTGCCGCCTCAATTTTTAAGCCTTGTTTTCGATTGTTTACCGAACGCATTAGTTGACGAGTTCAGCGTTGCTTCTGTTTTTTGTTTTTAGTAATTTTTTTTTATTTATTGCGAAGTTACTTAGCCGGAGAGCTAAGCTGCCGCCTGCGAACGCGTTTTTTTCGTAACTGTCGATGGCGCAAAAAATTTGACTAAGCGGAATGTCCGCAGACAGACCGCACTTTCGCTGTTTGCTCTCGCTCCCCCCGACTCGCTCTCACTTTCTCCTCCTGCTCCGTCCTTTTCCCACTTTCTCCGATTGCCATCATCATCGTGTTGAGTGTCCTGCCGCCTTCTCAAATTGCACAGCAACAACTACATTGTGGCAAAGACAATCGAGCCAACATCGACACTGGCAGAAAAAGGTTACTTAGTATGGATAAAGACTGGGAGATCATCTCATGAAATTAATATGACTTTGACCATTATCAAAACTATTTTTTAAAAAAGCTATTGTTGCTCATTTGTGATTTCCTCATTTAAGGGTCGTCATCCAAATTTAGAAAGAATATTTTTCATGGTGGCTATACTTTTTCGCCCAGTGTACGCACGCAGGTATGGCCGGGCAAATAGAGTTCATTAATCGGTTTAATGGCATGACTGGATGACTGAATGACTGTACGGACCAGCTGACAAGGATACACATCGCTGTTGTCGGGGGCTGTTCAACCCGAGGACTAGTAGGTAACTATTTTGGATTGGCACGAGACTTGTCATATTTTCAATGCCAATTCTATAAAGTTTTCGCCCCTTTAGCCCATCTCCGAGTGCCCAATTTTTGAGTAATGGACGTTTATGTAACCACAATGCCAGCAGTTTGGGGTTTCCTTAGCTTCTCTTCAGCTGTTTTTGCTGTTTTGTGCTGTTTTTTGTGCTGCTGCTGCTGGACAAACACTCGGAACACACCTCAAAAGCATTAACAACAACGGACCAAGCCAATATTTGGACGACAACAAGAACGACAACGACAACGACAACCACAACGATATGCGGGCATGAAATGAAAGTGGAAAAGTCCGGGAAAAGCCGAGAGGTGGGGGCTTTGAGGGCTTTTCATTTGTATTTATTTCATTGCGTTTTTGTTTCGGTATTGGTATTGGCATTGCTGTTGCCATTTATGAAATGACATTGAAACAGTTTTGTGTTGCTGGTTTTTTGCCCTCCGTTTCATTCACTTTGAGCGGAGGCGAAAGGAACTCGAGTCTCTTATCTATCAAATTGGTTGTCGCCCTTGGCTCCGCTTCCCCTCGATTTCCCCCCCGTGTCCTGCTGTCCTGCCATCCTGCTGTATCCTCCAGCTGGCCAACTGTCGATGGAGACACAGAGCAGACCCTCTGCCCGGCTTAACACACCCAACTCCCCCGACCGAAATACACACTCACTTATTTATAGCCCTGCGGGTCGGAAGAAGTCTGGTTTCCTTCGCTTTTTTTCACAAGGAAACCTAAGTAATGCAATTATCCCGGACAGGACATGAGATATCTGGAACTTGCTGATGAGGATTGCAGAGGAAACGAAAAATGCAGCAAACTCGAGTAAGTTGATTTGAAAGGCGAGAGGCGGCACGTTGGAGAGATTAAAGATACGGAAGTCAAAGGACACCAGCAGAAATGCGTGTTTTTCCAAAAGCTTTGCATTTCAAATTAGAAAATGGAAATGCCTATTTGGAATTTGCATAAAATTGTTCAACTACACCTTCCTTGAGGAATTAAAGACTTCCTTTAAATCTGGTTATTTAGTTCTGACAGCCTGTTATCATTTGATTTGATGTTCCTAGTTTATTATTAAATATACTCATTATTATAAATCTTAATAAATTGTAGTTATCTAAATAACTATCTCTGAATACATACATTAAAGATGTCCTGCAATTCATTTGCAGCTCTTTTGACTAAAATTATCTAAGATCGCATTAAATCAGAAACCAGATACAATTATGAAGCTCAAAATTTAATTAAATTAAGAAAAATGTATCATTTAATGATTAAAATAATTTCTATAAGCTAGGAATAAAATAAAATAAATAGCTAGGAAGATAATTAAATTAAAAATGACTGAAATTCGCTTAATTAAAGGTTCATATCTTCAGCAATGCATCTATGACATTAAACTCTTATCACCTTCACCTCTGTTAACACATTTTCTTTGTTTCAGTATCTAAAAGCGTTTTTAGAAACAGCTCTACCCACAAACCTTCCCCTAATAAAGCACCACATAGCCTTTTTTGTCTTTCTTTTTTGAGTTTTTTAAGTCGATTGACACGTGCTAATAAAAATTTCTGCGGGTAGCTAAAAATGGCATTCAACTGGGTGGCCCAAGGGTCTATAGAGGGGGCCGGAGCCGACGGCTTGGGGCGATGCCTCGGCTACGTGACAATAGAGGAAGTAATTAAAACGCGATTTACGGCAAGGTCAAGTTTATGAAGGTCCGCTCAGTTCATTTGCATTAGTCTGGCACCGCAATGAAATGGCAAGTCTGCGGGGAGTTATGCAGACAATGCGGAGTTCCAGTGGCCCGCAGCTCCGGGAAAACTGGGCCAATTCCGCCTCCCGAGGGCGAGGCGTCAATCAATTAGAGCAATTACTTAATTCCATTTCCACATAATTGAGTTGTGGCCAGGGACGGAATGGAATTGCAGTTGTAATTGGAGACCGAGCATAATGTATCAGTTATTGAATGCGGATTATTGGCTGTAGTTTATCAGTAAGTGTTTATCTGCAAAAGCTATCGCATTACTCATACGCCGCATTGGCCATGAATGCAAATGGATGTGCATACTGAGCTTTGAATGTGGAAAAATTCATTTTATTTATATTTAATATTTTATTTTAAGTACCTACTTTTTAAAAAAAAAAAATTAGGGTAATATTTCCTACCCCATATTTGTTTAAATATATAAATCATCTCCTATTTCTTAGCATTTCTAGGTTAACGCTTCCTTTTTTCCTTCTTTTTTTTCAAACAGCAATTATATTTATGGTCTTATTTAATAACAAGTTACATTTTAGCCACTCACCTGTATCAGCTTCCTGCCATTTTCCACATAACTGGAATCGCTGGCATTTGGTTGGCGGTGCTGCTTCTGTTGCTGTTGGTCAGCCCGTGCAATCGCCTCCTCCGGGTTATCCTCGCCCACGACAGCACCGAACTCATCCTCGTCATCATCCTCATCGTCGTCGTCATCCTCGTCCTCATCCTCCTCAGCCTCTGCTCCTCCTCCTGGCTGGCGATGATTCCCCTGGCGATATTTCCGCTGCCAACTGCGACGTGGATAGTGGAGGTGGTGAACCTCGCCGTCGACTGCCATTGGAATCGAGGTGGCCGCCTGCTCCACCGTAATCGTTGCCGTCGGCGCGAAGGGGGCGAACAGGCCGCCACTAATCTCCTCCAGCGGCGGAGGTGCCACGCCCACCGCCGCCTGATGGGATCCGCAGGGCAGCTGCAGTTGGGCGGGCGCCGAGGAGGCGGGGCCCACGAATCGGGTCGTTCGGTACATGGGACGGGTGGAGAGGCTAATGGTGTGTGATTTTAGGAATGAATATTATGAAAGAATTCGGTTTTATATAACTTTATAACTTATAACTTTAAATTGGGTTTCGGGTTTCAAAATATTACGCAAAAATTACAATATTACAATTTATTTTATATTTTGTTTATAAGAGGAAAATAACATGAAAATGTAACACATAACACATTTTTTTATATGCTAAAACTTAACTCCTTCAAGACTTACTTTCCTAAAGGTAATTAAATTATAATTAAATTTGAAATTGATTGTTTTTGTATAAAATAAATATAAGTAAAAACTAGTTTGAAAATTGAAAAAAAAAATATTATATTTTAAGCACAAATATAGTGATTGTTTTTAACTCTTTAAATAACAGTAGAGGTTTAATTATATTTCCTACTCTCCAACTAGAAATTTACTCACTTGTAGCCATATTTTGGGGACTCGGTTTCGGGTCTTCGCCGGGTGGACATCATCGTGTTGACCCGATCTCCGCGGGCGGCAGCCATCATGTAGGTCCACATAGCTGGGCGCTGGCTGGACGTCGGATGGAATGCAGCTACGCAAGGCACGAACCCATCACCATGATGAACAGCGGGCAGGGAGTCTGCAGGAAGGACGAGGATTACAACTTTTGCATTCATCTGAGGACCAGAATTTAAGTTGTTTGTGGCCCCAGTGCCTAAACGCCCACTTGGCGGCAATTGTACTGCTGCCTGGCCACGCCCCCCTTACAAACGCCCATGGCCCCGGGCGGCACCTCCGGGGACCCAGAGCAGTCATAAATGTTCCTTTCTGCACGACCATAAAACACTTGGAGAGACGTAAACATAAATGCCAGCCGCTTAGTGGCCAAGAGGGGAGGGGTCAGGGGCTGTGCCTCTGGGATGTCTGCCTTGCTGCAGTAATTAAGCAATTAAATGCAAAATTGTTGGCTTACGAAACAGTCTGTGGTTCGAAATTTTTAAATTGCCCCTCGAGGTAGGCAACAGAAAATGTTCAAGGGAGCCCTCCTGCTTGTAGCTCATGTGGAAAAGTCGGAAAATGAGTGCAAGTTTGATGGGCAGGAGGAGGGGGGATATGTGGATGCCACGGTAAACTCTTTGGACAATAAAACTTTCTCGGCAGGTAATCAGAAAAGCATTTAATGCCGAAGGTAAATGATTAAGGCGAACTACTTGGGCTTCCAATTTAACGTACTCAAGCTAATGCCACACATAATAAAATTCCTGCAGGTTTCTTGCACTTTTTAAATAGTTTTCCCAAAAGGGGCTCAACTTATATAGCTTTTGTATATGGGAAAATAATTAAAATGCAGAACGCATACTTTATTATTATTAAACTACTTACTTCACTTGAATAGTTTATTTAATGCCCAAAATAAAAAATGATTAAAAACTCATGGTAAAAAGTTAATGGAGCTGCTTTGCATTTCTGGGAAAAATATGAAGCGGAATTGAAAAGCAAAAATTTAACTACACATCTAAAACAAAAATCAAATAACGTGTTTTCTAGTTAAATCAGAAACCTTTTCATTGGAAATCCATCCCTTTCGATGGTTGCAGAAAATGCTGGCAAAAGCAGACATTTTACTTAGGGAAAACTGCTGGCTTTCATAAGAAATTTACCCAACTTTAATCGGTTGGAAAAACTAAAAGAAAATTCAAGAGCGAGTCCTTAATGCAGAACTTTTTGCACTTGAGCTAGTGTTAATTGAGGAGTTCTGGGGATTCTGGAGACAGCAGCAGCTGTCCAAGTAAGGAAAGTTCTCCCTTGGCAAACGAAGGCAAATAAATAATTCCGTTTAGACGCGACCTAATGAGGCGCAAATGATAAATACAAGCTGCCAGATGAGCAAAAATTTCAACAGTTGTAGATAAAATGCAGCTGTGACTCACGAGAAAATCGAATCGGGGGTTTGGGCAAAATATTTGGTGGAAAATGGAAATGGAAAATACGAATGCGAATGCAAATGCAATGGCTGATAATCAAAACGAGCGCAAAAACGAAGCGCCAATGCGAAATTTTTTATGTAATTTCCAGTCGAGTGGCTGCCACAAAGAAGGTATGTAAAAAAAACGTATACATTCGCAGCGAGAATACAAGTTGCAGTTGATCCTTTGTCCTTTTCCTTTGTCTGGCATTAAGCAGCGTTTACTGTCGCGTGATTTTATGTCATAGATTATCTTTGGGTTGCACGCTCCTCCAGCCAAGCATTCAATTTGAAGTGCAATTTTGGTTTTTGGCCAGGCGAACTGTTATCCTTCGATGAGTCAGAGGTTCGGGGAGATTCGGGGGGCTTTGAAGAAGTCTTTGACCGCCCGTTTGGTCCATTGTCTCGGATTTGACTCCGGGTGCGGGATTCAAATAGAACAAGTACGTACACCACCTACTCCCCCTGGCAGCATCGATTTTTAGCTATAAAATCAAAGTAAATCCATTTATCAACTTCAGCTGCAAACATTTTTCGTGCAGATAAGAATTGACTTTGATAAAATGTGGCTCTTCTGGCAAGCCACTTTGGCTGTTTGCATTTTCCTTTGGCTTTGGTCCTTCGAAGCCAATCGAAAAGCTGGAGAGGAGAGCTCGTCCTGCAGCGGGATATCTAGGCAATTAACCCAAGGACCTCAAAGGCAGCCGCAACCGCATTGGCAGCAACTTCAAAATTAGACAAACTTTTCGTTCTGCCTCTGGCATAATTTCCCCGATCTCATGCCCTTCGCAATGAATTGCTAACGAGCCATAAATGTTACCCCCCGTGTGTGCACATGGAAAAATATACATCATTTGGCCATATAATTTTCGTTAGGCCATAACAATGTATTCATTACCCACTTTAGCAACAACGAATTATTTAAAATCAAATAACTTGATTCGAAATTTTTATTACAAAAAAAAAAAATATCAGAAAGGGTAAGAAATGTTTAATAAATTAACGGCACTAAAGATATAGTGTTTATTAGTATTAAAATGATATTAATTGGTCAAGATTTTGTATTATTTAAATTGAGATTATTTAAAAAGAATATTTATATGTTAATATTATTAATAGGTATATTATTCTGCCCGTTTAAGCAAAATTATTTATTAATTGACTAGTTGAACACTTTCGTATTTTTTTAACCCAGAGATTAATGTAGTATTTTATTGTGAAATCAACATATAACAATTAAATAATAATCCCATATTGTAAAGCGATTTTAATAAATTTCTCCCTCTGCATCGATGTGTCTTATTTGTAATGATTTAGTGGCACCCTGGGGGAGAGAGTAAAACGATGCTGCGGGAAGGGAACGTGTGAAGTTTATGCCCCATGGAATCGTTTACACTCGCCCCCCTCTCTTGGTGGGGATTATGATTGTCCAAGTGGCTGGAGACGAGGGTACAAAGGACCAAGAGTCCTAAATAAGTAAACACATGTCCATATTGAAAACAAATTTCGCATCGGCCCGTGTCCATTTCCGCTTGTCAGCTGGGGGGATCAATTAGAACTTCCCACAGAGTCGGCGGGCAGAAAAAAATAAAATGTTTATTCAATATAGTAGAGCGCCCACTTCCACTCCCAAGCACTTAGACTGTAGTTCACTAGTTCTCGCCCTCTGTTTGCCTTTCGCCAGCTAGCTGTGTTTAATCCTCTCAGACGCATCACGTATACGCCATGTGGCTGCGGCAGGGGGGAATTTCAAGTTCAATCAAAACGATGGGGGAAACATACAGTAAGAAAAAGAACAAAGTCGAGAGGAATTTCTAAAACAGGATAGACACGCGCACACGGATACACTCAATGTACACGGGATGCACAAAATATGCTAATGTCAATTATTTTGTGCGTAATTTGCTTTTCAAGCTTCGACGGGAAATGTGTAACTGGCGCCTCATTATGAATATTCATTTCCCGCATACAAGTGCTCTCTTTTGCTCATCCTGCAGAGCCCCATCCATATCCACATCCACATTCAAAGCCCCTTTGTTCGCTAATCATTCCGCAGCCATCGACTTATCTAATCTGTTTTGGTGGTTTTGCTGGCATGATAAGTGCTGCGGGGGCGTCAGGGGGTTAAGGGGCTAAGGGGGGTTAAGGGGACAGGTGGATCTGCCACCGTCCTGAAAAGGTGAGGTGACTTCAATTAACATTCGTGCACGTAAAGGCAATAACGCAAATGGATTCGGGCTTTGTTTAATAAAATGTGATATTTATGGAGTTTACTGTTCCTCTTGAAGCACCCCAAACCCCCGAAAATCCCCCAAGCCTCCTGCTCTGCGGATGCCAATTAATATGGCACCAAGTTCGTTATTAATTCGCCGCTCTCTGTGTGTCCAATGGCTGTAGTTAACAATTAGGGGGCCGATGATATCAATATAGGAATATCGAAATGGGCACGGAAATCACGCATACGTCGTGTGGTCTACGCTGGTTTAGTGGTTGTGATTAGAGGTTGGCTGTACCTTTCTGTCTTGTTGCGGATTCTGGACTCCGCTCCTCAAGTGGATCCTGCTAATCCGGGACTCCGGGACTCTGTCAGCGACGGAGGTGATGCGTAATCCTATTAGCAAACGCTTGGCGTCGCCTTTTGAGTCGAGTCTCCTTCTCTGGCTCCCTACTTTTTGCACACTTGTGCTGGCATTGGATTATTTAAGAATGCGTGCAGTAATTTCAACATGAAATTTGAATATTTTTTACGCCTCGCGAATTCACAGAACAGAACGGAACGCACAGAACACGGGGGAGGATTCGAAATGACAGGCATTTACATTTGTTGCCTGCCCGCTGCGATATCCTTTTTTTATTATTATGATATTTTTGTGCACTTTTTTATTGAATTAAAATTCAAATCAAATGTGACGGCTGGCCCAGTTTGGCTTAGTTTGAATGGAGCCGCGCAAAGGGATCTCGTCGAGACGTTGCTCTCTTTTTGGGGACTGTATTCGGGATCTCAACGGAGGAGTCCGCACCGTGTACGTTCGCTTGCCCGGTTGGCGGCGCAATGAGAGCTCCGGAAACTGAAACCGAAACTGAAAACAGAAGCAGCAGCTTCTGAAGCTGAACGGAGCCGAGTCCGCCTATAATGAATTTTCATTCATGAATGTTCGGTTCGGTTCGGCTGAGCTTTACCCGCAAAAGCTTTCGACGCTCAACGGAAGCTGGCCAACCTGTTGAACATATCCTGGCCCACAGGACTCGGCATCCCGGCACCCTGGCATCCTGTCCAGAGTTACCAAAGTCGGCTGTTGCCAGGCCCGTGGGGATAACATAAATTAATTAAATCAATGCTCGTTTCGGTTGATCATCTGACACATTGACAAATTGAGGCTTCCAAGGGAGTGGGATTCGGACTGGGAGCGTGTCCTTCTGGGGTCAGGGTCATGGGCTACCAAGTTCCAAGCTAACATTCGGGGTTTCGGCCCCGGGGCCAACTTGGTTCATTTGCTGAAGTTGATTAATGCATGCAGCACTCGCTTTTTGTTCTGGCTTGATTTAAACTTGTCTGCCACATATGTTGTCGTTGTCGTTGTCCTTCTCCCCCGGAGGAGAAGGATCCCAGGACCCGGAGTAACTTTCTTTGTTGACAAACACGGTGCACTGACATCTGACCAAATCGAACACAACTAATTCGGCACGATTATTCACATGCCGCAGAAATTAGATTAAACTTGGCCAGAACATTATATGGTCGAGTTTGGCCCATTGGTTTGCTCCCTTTTATTTATACGAAATGAACACAAAGTTTTCCCCGAACATCTGTGCTTGTCTACGTTTATTGCTTTTGGTTTTAGTACACTTGGAATAAATAATTTTTACAATCTGGAGAAAATCGTTGTTAGGAAAAGATATTTTTAAGTATTTTATAGGATATATTTTAGGACTAACATTTAAGGAAGTGTCTAAAAAAAAGGGACTGACTTTTACAACATTACATACATATATTTTTTAATAAATAAATACAAATTTTTAATAAAATACGAATCCGAACAAATGTATGTATTTCCAACTAGTAGAACAATTTTACTCAAACTTTTCCAATTTTGTTGACTGTAAGCTGGAGAGCCTGACAGGAGCAAATAGTAAGGACAGTTCATTGCTTGAGCCCAAAGTTCAATAGTTCGAGTCACAAGTTCACTCACCAAACAGAATGGCAAGGGCCAACAAGTGGCATCGGGAGATCTTAGCTGTCAGGATGGAAATGTTGGGGAAATCGAAATCCAGCAGCACTGACAGCTGCATACATTTTAATCCCCCGATTTCGGGGAAAAGTACTCCATGTTCAGGGGCTCTGGGCTACAATGACTTTTGCATTCACAATTTCCAGTAATTTGTTATTCAAACACATTGCGAATCGATTATCCGCTTGGCATGCTCCCTCCAATCGAGCAAATATGCTGATTGACTTTTGTCAAGGCTCCACACACATGAGCCCCCCTTGTCGCATCCCCAATCGATCCCATTCCCATTCAGCCTTTGTGTTTGGCCGGGCGAAATGCCAAAGCAAATACAAATGAGGAAACGCGGGAGGATATGGGGTCTTGTTGGCTTTCACTTTTATCCAGAGTGGGGCAACCCAACCATCCAACACCCATTTTACACATATTTATACAGACTATATGGATGGGCGGAATGCCTGACTGGTTCTATATGGGTGTGTTTTCGGTTCGATAAGGGCGATTTGGCAGTGGAGTGGGCAGACAATGGCAGCAGCAGCCGGGAGCAGAGTTCCCATAAAGTTAGTTGTGAAATGTCTGTCAAGGACTCCGGTTTAACCTTCGCCGGAGGTCCCTCGCTTTAAATATTTGTCATACGCTGGAAATTTATCTTGGCCAAATGGCCGAAGGCTGAGGCCAGGAAGTGGGCCACAATCCACTTCTTTCTCTTTCCTTTCACCCCGTCTCAATGTCACTTGTTGAATGGAATTGATTGCCACGCAATAAAATGTAATTGCAATGGCTCAGCTTGAATTCAATGTTAAGGTGCAAGGACATTAATTAACCGCAAGCAGCAGCTGCTGTCCTGAAGTGGCTCTGATTGCTCGGCATGCCGCTAAGCGAGCCGCATATTAATTAGAGCACCAAATGGAATGGAATGAAGCGAGCTGGCTGCAGTGCAAATATGCAAATTTAACTGGATGCATGTGGTAGCTCCGTCAGAGACTGCTTTATGGAAATAAACTGCTGACCCAGCATTGACAGGAGTTCCATAAATACTCGAATATATGGGAATATGAAAAATGAAAGGGCGAAAGGTTAAAGTTAAGCTTGACAAATGTTCGAGGAAAATCCTTGGATAACAGCGTTTGATTGGATTCCGGGATAACTGCACTGCACTTAGGGCGACATAATTTATTGAACGAGAGTTTCGTGATAATTAATCAATAGTTAAAACGGTTTAGGACTGAGTCCTGCCCCTAATTGACCTGAGCTGCTGCTGCAGCTGCTCGCAGCGCTGGCACTCGCGGGTGAGCTGCTTGACAGCCAGGGCGTACTGACGCTGCAGTTCCAGCAGCGATTGCAGCTCCTCGTTCAGCTCGTCGCGCCGCATCCGCTCCTCGTTGTACTTGTGACGCACCTTGTCCTGGGCGCTCTTCACCCCGTCCACAATGGTCTCGAACTGGCGTATGAAGTCCTCGCGGCCGTGCGGACTCATCATGCCCTCGTTGTAGGCCTCGCAGATGGAGTTCAGGAGGGCCAGCTCCTTCTCCAGGTAGCGCTTCTTGTCGTTGAGAGTGTTGTACAAGGTGTAATATTGCTTGGTTTCCAGGTGCTTGCCGCTCATTTCGTTGTGCAGTTCGTGGAAGCGTCGCTGGTATTGCGCCAGCTCTGTGCGATCGGGTATGGCGTCCAGCTTCCGTTCGATGGCCACAATGCCGCGATTCCGCTTGGCCAACTGCAGGCGCAGCTCCTTCAGACGTTGCTCCTCGCCAGCCAAGGCTGCAGCTTGCGTCTCCGCATCTTGGGCACTAAATGCTTCCAGGTCACTAATAATGATTTACCAATTAGTACTTAATAATTTAGTTCCACTCAGCAACCTTACTCAATTTCCTGCTGTAGGTTGGCCAAATCGGTACGACAGGATTCCTTGAATTCCGCCTCGCTTTTCTTGAGCTCTTCATGTTGCTGCAGCAAGCTCTGTACCTTTTCAAGGAGCCTTAAAAGAAGCAATGAAATAAAAGCCATACATAATAGTATTGCAGTCTTTAACCCACTTTGGATCTGCATTATCCTGCGTATCCTTGTGTGCTTTGAGCTCAGTATTTAGGGTATTCAATTGCTCCTCTGCTTCCTTGGTCTTCTGGCCCTGCTCCTTTTCAGCTTCCTGCAGCTGTTCGTTATCCTTGCAATACCGCCTAACCTTGTGTTCCAGGGCAATTTTGGCCGCTTCGAGCCGTTTCTGTTGGTTTTGTGCCTTCAGCTCTTGGGTGTCCGTTTCCATTTCCATCTTAAATTCAGCATAGTGCTGTTGCAGCTCCTGCCGTGCTGTAGGATCGAGATCAATGCGCTTCTGGGTGCCCGTTAGGTCGTCTTTTGCGAGGGATAAACTGCGCAAATACTCCTCCAAATCGAGCTGAGAATGAGAAGGAGATTTTCACTTGGTTCTAAATGGAATACATTAAACTGAGACCCACCTCATCTGCTTCCCCAGGTCCCTGCTCTGCCCTTCTCTCAGCACTGGTCTTGAACATCGGCCCGGGATCTCCGTATTCCAAGAGAGTGAGGCGCACCCGGGACACATCATCATCGCCAGGAGCTTCCTGGCGTTCGTACAGCCTCCTGGGGCCGTAGAGCTCCTGAATGGCCTTGATGTGCGTGGAGGCCAGGCGTATTTTAGTGAGATTGTCCTTGTCGCTTTTGTACTGGTAGTGATTGTGGAACTGGCCGATGGCAAATCTCTTCAAGCGCTGGCCACGCTCAGCTCGGTTTTCCACCTAAATGGGGATTTTCTGTTATATTTTTTATAAACGTACCTATGAGGACTACTTACAGAGGTCTTGACCAGCCATTGGATGACAGGATGTATGGCCAGGAACTCCAGCCCCTGCACTTGATGGGGTTCCAAGCTATGTGGACACTTCATGTCAATCAAAACAGATACGATCTTTTCCACCAGAGCTCTGTAAATAAATGATATGGTAGCAGTTCAACCCCTCTATATATTAAATAACTCACATCTTCTGTCCTATGGAGAGACTTTCGTGAAAGAGCAGGTCCACATCCACATCGTAGTCGCAGCACTCGATGCACCAGGTCATTCCGCCCACCACTTTGTCGAAGGCGGAGAGGCCCTTTATGCGGGCCCGGTAATATCCGGCTGCCACCAGGATATCGAAGGTGTCCTGCTCCTTGGCCGTGGCATCGGAGTCCTCGCGGCGCTCCACCTTCAAGGATAATCAAGGATAAAGTGAAGAATATCCAGGATGAGCTGACGACCCACCTGCACCTCACGCCCATCCTCATCGTAGCGAGTGCCCAGCCTGACATTTGGCAGGATCTTGGAGAATACATCGCGGTTAGCCATGAACAATCACAATTACATGCTACTGGAGGCCCGGAAGCTATTGCTTATCGTACAAAATCGGGGAAAACACAAAAATTGGCAAACGACACAAACAATTGTAAACAACATTGGCTGAAATGCGGGATTTTCCGGGCTTCGCACTGCGGTCCCACCAATCGGTCCATTTGAATTCGCGCCACCCACGGTCACACTCGCGCCGGTCACCGCATTTTTTTTGGGCCTTTTCAAAGAGGCGAAGTGCGGATTTAAGATGAATTACTACGTCTGCCTGCACCAGGAGGGCGTCAGCAGCATTCCGAAGCTGATCGAGAAGGCCTACGCCAACAACTACAATGTGGTGGCCACCTCCATCAACGCCAACATGGTGCCATTCGAGCCGGACGAATCGGATCCCACATATCCGGCGACGGTTCTGAGCGCCGTGGACTGGAATTCCAAAGTGATATTCACCCTGTCCGACGTAGATGTGGACTCGCCGAACGCCAAGCTGCGCCAGCACGCCCGGGAGGTGCTCCAGCGGGACGTGGCCTGGGCGGAGCACCTGCAGAACGTGGGCAGCGTGATGGTGCGACTGCGCGGCCCGGAAGTCGAGAATCTTTCGGCCATTGTGCGGGCCAAAACGAAGGGTAAGCGTCTGGCTGCTGGCGCGGAACACCAAGCAACTTATTCGAAGATTTATTTCCCCTAGGGAACTGGTTCATCCAGGTGCCCATCACCAATCCCGAACTGGCCACCTTCGAGCACCGCACGGATGCCACCGCCGAGGAGGTGGCTGCGGCGGAATCCAATGACCCGTGGAACTGGTGGAACAACCTGCGCATCGCCGCCAAACAGAGCACCAAGGTAAAGGTAGTGGTGGAGCTGAACGACTCGGATCGGCCCAGCAAGGAGACGGTGCGTCGCTGGTTGGGCGAGCCCATCGAGGCCATCATCATTCCCTCCTCCCTGTTTGTGCGAAATCGCTCCAACTACTGCGTGCTGAAGAAGGAGTGGCAGGTCATCATCGGGCAGTTCATCTCGGTGCGCGCCAACATCATCATCTCCACGAATCCCAACGATAAGGCATTGTCCCAGTATGCGGATTACCTGAAGAAGCTGATTAACGAGAACTGCGATACGCATGTGCTATACAGGTGGGTTTTAAGATATATCCTCTTAAAATCTTAATAATAATCAGCCTTTTTTTATTAGCTATGAAAACATGTTGGAGATTCCTCTGCAGCCACTCTGCGATAATCTGGACAGCTATACATACGAGGTGTTCGAAACCGATCCTGTCAAGTACAAGCTTTACCAGAATGCCGTGCAGGCGGCTTTGTTGGATCGAGTGAGCGATGCAGAGGCCAAAAGCAAGATGGTAAGGAACGATCTCTTTTAAATTCAAGATACTTCATACTAATTTTAAAGTGCTTAACCTACAGACAGTCGTCATGTTGTTGGGAGGAGGACGAGGTCCTTTAGCGAGGGCTGTTTTTAATGCAGCCGAATTGACAAAGCGACAAGTGCGCCTGTACATCATAGAAAAGAATCCCAATGCCATCCGCACGCTCTCCCACATGGTTAAAACACTTTGGGCCAACAAGGGTAAGTAAACAAAATAAAGTACTATAAAAGATATTCCTAATCCCCAACAAATTCCTTAGATGTTCACATCTTCTCAAAGGACATGCGCGACTTCTCCCCGCCCGAGCCGGCTGACATTTTGGTATCCGAGTTACTCGGTTCCTTTGGCGATAATGAACTTTCGCCCGAGTGCCTTGACGGAGCCTTGAAGCTGCTCAAACCGGATGGCATCAGCATACCCTACAAATCCACCTCCTACATTAATCCCCTGATGTCTGCCATTCTGCATCAGAATGTCTGCCAATTGGTGTCCACCGTGCCTGCCTTCGACTACGGTTATGTGTCGCTCCTGAAGAATATCTACCACATTGATGAGCCGCAGGCTTTGTTCGAGTTCACTCATCCCAATCGGGCGGAGAAAATTGACAATACGCGCTGCAAGGTGCTCTCATTTACTGTGAAAAAGGATTGTGTGCTGCACGGAATCGGCGGTTACTTCGATACTCACTTGTACAAGGATATCTGCCTGAGCATCAACCCGCTAACCCACACGCCAGGCATGTTCTCCTGGTTCCCCATGTTCTTCCCAACGGTGAGTTGAAGTTAAATCTCTGAAATATAGCTTTTAAAGCATTCCCCTTTTATCTTTTTCAGCGCCCAAGGACTCTCAAGGAGGGACAGACCATATCCATCAAGTTCTGGCGCTGCGTGGATGCGACCAAAGTGTGGTACGAGTGGCAGGTGGTCAACTCTCCCGAGGATTGGGAGCATCACAACACTTGCGGCACTGGCTACAACATGCGACTGTAGCAGCAGGAGATGGAATGCCAAGTAGCCAAATGACACTGTTTTTTTTTTCTAAACTGGAAATATAATCAAACCGAAGCGACCTTAATTTGTCTGCGACTTTTATTTAGGTTTATGTTTGAAAAGTTTATAAATACTCTTAACGTACATAGATGTCCTTACATATCTGTGGGTTTTATTATTTCGGTTTGTAAAATTTAGTTAATTTCCGGTTTCCTCTCATTTATTTAATTAAATTATATGTATGTATATTTAAAGCGCTGCACATGATCGCGACACGACATCTCATCTAAGCGAAGGCAATTATCAGTTATGTTAAGTATGTATAACGTAATCCATTTAGTTTAGTTTAAAGCGGAGCTGAACTGGGCGGCGACGGGTGGTGATCGGATCTACGAGTTGACAGCATTGGCCTGGGCCAGCGGCGCTGCTCCGCCGACGGCGCCACCGCCACGGATGGCGATCGCCCCTTGGCCGGCGCGAATCGGCTTGGCGATCTGCGCCTGCGGGCCGCGTCTGCCCAAATGCTTCTGTCGCACAGCCTCCTTGATGCGGTCCACCTCGTACTGGTAGCGCTTGCGGTCCCGCATGGCGCCCTCCTTCGCCTCCTTGAGCGCCGTCTCCAGGGCCTTCACCCGCTCCATGGTCGTGCGCAGGCGCTTCTCCAGCTTGGGCAGCTCGCAGCGCAGATCGGCGTTGTCCCGCACCAACTGCTTGTGCACCTTGGTCAGCTGGTCCAGGTTGTTCTCCAGGAAGGAGATCTTCTGCTTCTGGGCGAGGGAACCGCCGTCTTCCTCGCTCTCCTCGTTCACCACGTTCTTGCGGATTCGTTGCTGTTGGAATAAACATACGGTTAATATAATATAAGGTGTGTACAAAATGTATAGTTCGAATTTTACCTGTAGATCCTGAACAAACAGCCTGCGCAGGTTGTGCAGCGTCTGCAGCTCCTTGGCCACGGTGTCCTCCAGGCCCTTGAGGTCCTTGCGCGCCTGTTCGCGCCGCTCGTTGGTGAGGATGATGTTCTGCAGCTCGCTGGACTTCTCGGCCTCCTCCTGGCGCACCTTCTCGTAGTCGACCGACATCTGTTGGTGTGCCAGGAGCAGCTTCTGATGCACATCCTTCATCTCGTCCATTTCGTGCTGCTTGGCGGCGATCTCGTCCCGCAGCTCGGACACCTGGCGGGTGTGGGCCTCGCGAAGTTCGTCCATCTGGGAGTCGAACATGGAGCGCAGCTCCTCAGCCCGCTGCTTCTCCTCGGCGTTGACGGCGGACACGTGCTCGGCGGCCTTCAGCTTGGCGCACTCCTCGCGCAGCGAATCGATCTGCTCCTCGAGGGTGCGCTTCTTGTTCTCCGCCTCGCGCATCGACTCCTGCAGCGACTTCATGCGCGCCTCGTGCTGCGAGATGAGCAGACGGTACTCGCCCAGGTCCTTCTCATACTCGGAGATCTTCTTGTTGGAGTCCGACTGCTGCGACTCCATGTTAGCGCACCGCTGGGCAATGTTCTTGGCCTCCGTCTTCATTTTGCTGATATACAGGCGGGCCATGGTGAAGTCTTCCTCCACCTTGTTGGCATCCGTGCCGGCGAGAGCACTCATCTTGAGGTCGATGCCGGACTCGCCGGGGGCGATTGCCTGGCCCACTTCGCCGAGGTCGCGCAGCAGGTTGGTCAGCATTTCGGTGATGCGCTTCTTCTGGTGCGAGGACATGTCCTTCAACTGCTGCAGCTCCGTGGAGGCGGCGCTGAACACGGACTGCTTCTGCTGCAGCTCCTCGTTGAGGGCGTCGATGTCCTTGTTCTTGTTGTCGATCTCCTGCGACTTCTGGTCGTAGTTTACGGCCAGCTCTTCGAGAGCTTGCAGCACCTCCTTGACCTCCTCCTTGGCGGACTCGTTCTCCTGCTGGATGCGCGCCATCTCCGACTGCAGCGTCTCGTACTCCCGCCGAGCGTTGGCGATGAGCTCCTCCTGCTCCATCACCTGCTCCTTGAGCTGCTCGGCGTACTGACTCTGCTGGTTGATCTCCTCGTCCTTGTCGTCCAGCTGCTGGTACAGTCGCTCGCATTCCGTGGCCAACCTGGCCTGCTCATTGGCGGCCACCGAGGCGGACATGTTGGCCAGGGCAGTTCGCTGGGCGGCCAGCGCAGCCTCTGCGGCCGCCGCCTGTGCCGCCTCCACTTCCAGATTGGGCGTGCTTGCCTCCATGAGATCCTCCATGTTGATTTGCTCCTCCGCCTTGACGGTTTCGCCGGCTCTCCAGCGCGCCAGCTCAATCTCCAGCTTCTCCACCTTGCCCTTGAGCCTGGCGTTCTTCTCCTTCTCCTTCTCGTAGCGCCGCTTCCATTCCTCGGCCGTGAGCTCCTCGTTCACGCAGACCACGTTCTTCACGGTCTTGGCTCGTCGCCCAAAGTCCAGCGTGGACTTGGTCTCCGACTCGTTGAAGCTGGCCGGCGAGCAGCAGATGACGATGGTTGTGCGTGCGTTGCCTCCCAGCGACTCCTGCAGGATGCGCGTCAGCTTGGAGTCGCGGTAGGGGATGTGCGTTTTGTTGCCGTCCGCCAGGGCGGAGATTACGTTGCCCAAAGCAGACAGCGACTTGTTGATGTTCTTGGCTTCGTCGAGGACCGTGCCCTCGGCTCCGGTCTTGGAAACCTTTTCGGAACCGGCCAAATCGACCAGGTAGAGTTTGCCCGAAAGCTTCTTCTGGTTCTCCAGGTTCTCCTGCTTCACATTGATGAGGAATACTGAGTGGGATCGCGAAGAGTGCTCGTTCATGTCTAGAAAAGGAGGATAAATTGTTATTAGATGATTGAAGACAGGAAAATGCAGTTGGGATCAGAACAAAGGCATTTCTTAAAGATATTTGAGTCATTAAATTTTAATCTTGATAAAGAAACTAATTTAGAAACTAATTTTGCAGAAAATTTAAATATTTTTAAAACCGCCCAATGAAAGTAAATGACTAATTGTAATATCAAATGGCTGCCACATCATATACATCGTACAATGGTAGAAATTAAGTGATAATAATATTTCTTTGACGAAATATTTTATAATGATAATTTGGAAACTCAAATAATAGAAATTTGGATATTAAGTGTGACTAATTGTAATATCAAATGGCTGCCCCATCATATACATCATACAATGGTAGAAATTAAGCAATAATACTACTTTTTGACAAAATATTGTATAATTTTTTCAAATATATATTAGTTATTTATGGATGCCATTGTTCTATCATAATAACAAGTAAGAACTCACTTGTCACCGCGATGTGACGATTGGATTTGCCCTCCTCGATCACCTCGAATACGTCCTCCGGCGAGGAGACGAACCGCTCAGTGGCGCCCTTAACGTACGGCACCCGGTTCTTGTCCTCGTGCACGCTGAGGTTCACCTTGGAGACGTCCAGCAGATCCCGGATCTTGTCCATGTAGATCTCGTAGTAGGAGACCTTGATGTGGAACTCCAGGTTCACCTCCATGGCGTAGATGTGGTTGAAGATGTCGTTGACGATGCGCGGTATGATGCCCTGCTTCACGGAGTCCCCGATCACGCCCTCCATCGTGTGCGTCTTTCCGGAGGACGTCTGGCCGTAGGCGAATATCGTTCCATTGTATCCGGCCAGGACATCGGTGACAATGGACTTGGCCGCCTCATTGTAGACCTTCTCCTGGGATGCGTTCGGCTTGAAGACCTTGTCGAACAGATATACCTTGCCCTGGGGAACGGAGGGGATTATACATTTTTATTAGTGTGTTGCGGTGAAATTTCTTTCGGAGATTCAACCCCCCAAACCCCGACTTTTTCCCGCTGACTGGCTGACTGCCTTTAAATCATTTTCAACGCATGGCCGCGAAGCAGATTGTAATTATGAGCATTAAGAAATGGTGAGTGGAGTGGAAGGGGGGAAGAATAGTGAATAACGAGCGGCAGAAGAAAGACGGAGCGAAAGAGAGAGATGGATAGACAGAGAGAGTAATGATAGTGTCTGTGTGTATGGAGGCACTTTACTAGTGCTGACTTTTTTGGAACTGGTTCAATTGCCCAAGTTTTTACCAGGAAAATGACGGATTACACCTGGTCAGCGGTCGGTGGAAAAGCGGAAAACTCAAAATACATCAACTAATAACATTTCATGTCGAATAAAAGCAATACAAGCCAATTCCATTGCCTCCAAAGTTGCTCTTATTGTTTTCCTTCTTTTTTATGGTTTGCGTGCATGACTCACTCGCGCGGGAAAGGGGGGGTGGGTGCGGGGCGGAAAGGCGGTCTCTGTATGCCAGTGTGTGTGTGTGTTGGTGTTTGTGTGGAAATGTAAGTGAGGTAAGCACTGAAGGCGGACTGGAAACTCTAGAAAAGCGCATATTTATGCGGCCCAAAAGAATGGAACACCCGCTTTTAGCAGAAAGCCCTCTTTCTAGTGGGTGGTCGTCTTTCGCCCTCTTCTTGTTTTCGATTAACACACCCCATTCTTCGACATTCCCTTTGGGGGAAAATCAATTTAATGCAAAGCAATATTGATTTGGAGTAGTTTCTTCAGTTTCATCATAGATATACATGTTTTTGTGCAATTATTCATGGGTAACTCTGGTGCCTCTCTCTTTCGCCAGGCTGATTCCAATTGGTCGGCAATTTGGGGAAGGGTAATGTACGCTAATAGGCATGACGTCATGGCACGGCACGCAGAGATTAATGCATAACACATAGGGAAAAAGCTAGGGGAAACTCTGGGGTCGGGTGGGGACTTGGGGAACCCATCTGGGAATCTGGAACACAACATACCGCTATGGATATGCAGTTCTCCTCCACATTGTTGGGGAACTTGACCACGAACTTGGAGCCGGCCTTCTCCTCGCTATCGTTCAGCGGTCTGAATCGACAGACCACCTTGATGCTGTCCTCGGCGGGAATCTCGCGTTCCGCGGACATTTCGTACGGCTCCTGCGGAGTGGGCTCTTTCTGGCGGAGATTACTCTGGAGCTCTGGGCGCGACCTCTGCGCATGCAGCTGTTTACGTGGATAGTCCGCGAGTCACAGCACTGCACTCCGTTGTTCCGGCACTAAATGGAATACGGATCTGCTGTTTTCCGGAACTCCGTATGGCCCTGCTTTTCCGATTCCGTCGCACTCGCGAAAATTGGGTTTGGGTGGGGGCGGCTCAGTAGATGCAGTGAAAATTTTGTGGTTATACCAGAAACCAGACACAAAAGTCCCGAATTGTTCCAATTGTTTGGTTGTAAAAGCGCGGTCTCGATTCTGGCTGCCGCGAACGCTTCTTGCACTAGCCCGGAATGATTAAGTGCGGCCGTTAAATGCACTCTCATACGTCAGTGGGTCGGAATTTGTGGCACTCGAAAACTCTATTTTATTCGCCTATTTTTTTTCGCCCGAATGCCAGTGTGACCGTTCTGGATGCCACGACAAATACCACTCGGAAAAACCTACTGAAAGAGAACACTTCATTTTCCGAAAATACCAAAAAAATACCGTTAGTGCTTGACTGCTGTATGAATACCCTTTATTCCTTGTAAACTGTAACGGAAAATCTAATATTAAAGTGAGATCCATTTAATTAACCACGCTTACAATCCACAATACTTTTGAATAGTTTTAAAAAAATAGATTTCATTTTTTTTAATAAAGTTTTTACTGCTGTTGATGGATTTGAATTTTAATAACTTTCTTCTAAAAGTTCCAGTGCCATTTATGTTAAATTATAAAGGTCTTTGATGTTGCATTAACTACATGGTTGTCATAAAAATATGACAAATAGTAAAATCTTATTGAACTGAAAATGTTTCATTATCCACGATAATCTCTGGAACCTCGGGATTTTCAGTCAAAACTTTTCGGCTTGGGTGCAACCCAAAAATAGTTACAAACTTGTGTTTTAGGTATTTGTGCATTCCAATTGATATAGGTCAGGGACAACGCTATGGAAGATTGATCACCGAGACCAGGAGAAGTGAGAGCGACTGAGAGGCAAGATGGCACCAGAGGATATAGTTTCGCACTTAAATATGGAACGCTTGAAAAAGACCCAGAAGCTCATCCGTCTTTATCGATCCAATGAATGCCTGTGGAATCCGCAGTCCCCAGGATATCATAGCAGCTCTGTAAAGGACGACGCTTGGCGAAGGATAACACTCGGTATGAAGAGCGGTTTGACACCTGACCAGGTGAAGCTGCAGGTGCTTGGCCTGCGGAATTATTACTCCAAGGAGTGTTCCGCCATTCAACAAAGTCATCGAGAAGGTTATTCTTATGTTCCGAGGCATTCCTACTTTGAGGATCTACATTTCCTGGGTAATCTGGAGAGCGAAGAAACAAACCAGGTGAGTGATATGATAATATACTATGTGCTAAGGAATGTATTTACCTTTTGACCTTTAGCCCAAGGCCAGTGCCAGTATGGGCCAAGTAAATAACCTCCTGGAAGAGGCTTTTATTCTGGACGATTGTAGTACTATTAAGGGCAATTACCCGCCCCACTTTTCGGAGGCCACATTCTTTTCCCCTTTGGCATCATTAAGTCCCTCTTGCAGTGTAACCAAGGATGGTTTCACATTCTACAAGATGATACTTGAACCTGAGCCACCCAATGAAAGATCCACATCTGGCAATGATCGCTGGTATCCCACGACATACTGTGTGAAGTGCAATCAGGATACAGAAGAAGAGGATCCATGCGACGCGTGCGAAGGCAGAGGTCAAATCGGTGGAAACCAATGCAATTGTGACACACCGGGGACTACTGATCAATATTACCATCAGGATAAGTCACGAACACACCCATCCATAGACGATTCAAAAATCAGACAAAAAAGTAAGGGAAATCAATATCGCACTCAGGATCAATGTCCGTGTAAGGATCAATGTCCTTGCTCATCGCCACACAGTCGAAAACGCTCTCCACGAACCCAACAAAACGGCATCTTTGTGGATTTGGGCACCTGGGATGATGATGAATCAACCAATAATGGGGAACGCAACGATAAGTGGCCAGGACCGAGACTATGTTCTCAAAAACGCCAGGAGTGGAAGCCCAGATGCCGCAAAGTAATTCCCGAAAATGATCTAAAGTGTGGCGGCGGAGGTTGGAAGCGGAATAACGAGGCCATATGCCAGCGACTCCGGGATCAGTTGGCGCGACAGGAATACCAAAGTGGACGTTACTCCGAGGAAGGTACATATGGCCAGAGCCGAAGTTGCGAATGTAATAAGGATCGCCGGCAGTCAGGAGAGGATCAGAAAAAGTCGCAAAGGAATAGGAACTCGCAGAACGACACCCCTTATGATCCCACTGATCCAGCACAGTATAGCAATAATCAGCCGATTTCCAATCAAGCTAACTATAATACCACCCAACCGGTTCAAAATCAATGTTTCTGCAATACTAACCCATACAGATGCTGGATCCCCAGCGATGCAGTACGTATGGATGCCAGTGCATTTACTGCAATCGAAATGTGATTCCACCCCAGGAAAACTACTACCCACCGCAGCAGATCGAACCGAGTCCCGCAAACTATTCCCGAGCAGCTCCCGTAGACAATCCAGATGGACAAGCTCAGCCTTATGGAGAATCAAATTATGCGAATGACTACGGACCACCGGCTTATCCGGAGCAACAGCATATGTACAGTATAAATACAGAAGAAGCCCCAAATCCTGCCCAGCGGTCCTGGCAGCAGGAAATTGCAAGTCGCCCTCCTCAGCCGGGTATTCAGGGTCGAGACAATGTCAATTCAGCTACTGTAAACAAAATACTACAGCCTAATCAGCCTGTTCAGCATCCTACGGCAAAAAGGAGACCAAATCCGCCGCCACGGAATTTTCAATATGTGGAGTGTCCTGCCTATAAGGGTGAACAAAGATCTAGCGACCAACGATCGAGCAGGGGGAATTACCAAAACCAAGAAAGAAGTCATTATACGGAAAAGGACTCCGTTGGCAGTCGTGAAATCTCTATTGTTTACGTTGAATGTCCAGCTCGAAGGCCAAATCGAAATGATATCGAACGTAATCAAGATCCGGATCGTTTAGCTCCGGTGGAAAACCTCTGTAACGATGATAAGTGTCCAGCTAACAGACGCAAAGAGCGACCTTCTCAAAGAAGATCTCGAAATGATGATAGAGTTGTTAGTAACCCTAATTCCAACTATGAAGACTCTCCTTCTCCACGGCGGGGAGAATATCTTAACGATAGTCCAAATAAGTCAAAAGTTTTTCAACTTCAAACCGACGATTCCCAATATATTGAGTGTCCGGCGCATAACCGTTACAATCCCAAGGAATGCCCCAATTTAAAACGCAGACAAAACGATCCCGGCCGAGAAGAAAGAATTGCCCAAAGGACCAGGCCCCCTTCAAGGACTCACGATTATGATGAGGAGGAAAAGTCAAGTTCCAAGAGAAGATCTCAAGATCCAGATAGAAATAGTCTGGAAAATGGTGACGTTGAAAAGCAGAGACAAAGATCCAGTCGTCCAGGCCGGGAAGACAATTCGCGGAGAAATAGAAACCCAGATGAAGATACTAACAGGTCTTCTAGACAAGATAGAGATGGTTCCGGACTACACACAAGAAATATCCGGGAGTTGGAAAACACAAGAAATAGCAATGGTAAAAATCGAAGCTCCAAAAGAAATGATAACGAGTGCAATGATTACACGTGTCGATATATCAATTCCTTTGAAGAGAAGGAAGGGTCTCGAAGGCAACGCCAACTGTATCCAATCCAGGACGATGAAGAAAGGATAGCAAGGAGAAGGTATAGGAGTGAGTCCTCAGCAAGAAGACAACAGCGGGAATCAAACAGATATGAAGATTCAGGAAAAAACAAAAAAGAAGTTGGGAATTTCGGGAGATCGAGAAGGCAAGGTGATATTGATAATTGCGAATGCGATTCAGATGACGATGATAAGAGATACGAACCCAGAATATTTAGAAATGACAATCGCGGCTACAATAAGGACCTGCAAGATTTACCACCAACAGATAGGTTAAAAAAGTATCCGAGAAGGGAGGAAAGGAAATTACCAAGAACAACAAATGAAAAACTGCAGAGACGTTACCGCAATGACGATTTGGACTCTGATGAATATGACGCCAGTAATGCTTATAATACTTATCCTTTGAGGGATAATAGTAATCGAAATCGTATGGTACCAAATTACTATGATAGAGAAGAAACATCTAGAAGAATAAGAAGACCTCCGAGTTATGATGATTCTGAAAGTGATGACAGAGAATATGTCAAGTCTACTGGCAAAAATAATAACCGGAAACGAAATGTAGATAATTACGCTCCGAATAAAAAGCCTTCTTACTCGAGGGGAACGGATGCGTACGAGTCAGAATATGATTGCTACTGCAGTGACTATGAAATCCCCGAAAACCGAGGATAGGGATCATGAATTCTATGCAAAATAGGAGCAACCAAACAGCCAGAAAAGTTCAAAGGCCCTCTGACAATATCATAGATGAAAAGCAGGAAAGAAATATGGCAAATGATTATCAAAAATACGAAACTAGGAATAGCAATAGGAACCCAGAGACTTCTTTGCCAAATAGAGGTCGAATAGATAACCTGGGATCCTGAGGATCCTGGAAAGGATGTCCGAGGTAAAAGTAACGAAGTAGACGGCTGTGAATGCGAAGCTGATGAAGGTGCATATAATTCAAAAAACCAAAATAGAAGTACCAATAGTAAAAGTAGGAAGGACAACCAGGATCCTAATTATCCTGGAAGGAACGACATAAATGCCTGTGAATGTGAACCTGATGATGGTGAATATTCCAAATACGAAAGAAGCAGTATTCAAAATGGTAATGGAAACATAGTCTCTGACGACGATTGTGCTTGTGATCCGCCCTGCGATCTGAACGAACCCAAGATAACTGAGGTCAAGGAACGAAATCAAGCTGGTAGTATATGTATGGCACTCAATGCCTTAGCGGAAAGCCGAAATCAGAAAAAAGAGTCAATTGGGATGGCCAAGAAACCACAAGGTCAAACTAATTTCTTAAACAAGTTAAAGATGGAACGAAAGGAGGCGAGAAATAAGCCAGAATCAACCAATGACAAGAAGACAACCCGCCCGAAGACAGGAGTTTACCCTAGAGTGCAGTCCACATCCGCCAGTCCTCAAAAGACTCAGCCAGGAGGAGAGCCGATCAAGAGACGAACATCGACGAAGACTGGAGGACAATCCAATCACCACAGCGCCGCCAAGAGAACTACGGACACACATGCAGCTGCCAACAGCAAGTTGCCCTTTGACCTAAACTCGGCCGCCTATTTTATTTGCAAATTACAGGACGAAGGTAACAACCATCAGTACCTCCTGGTGGTGCCAAAGAAGCCGATTGGACCACTTGATGGTGGCCAACGGATGGGCCCAGGACAGGAGTCTGTGAAGCAGCTGAACTGCCAGCGGCAGTGCTCCGGCTTTCAGAGCGTGTCCTGGGTCGATTCGTCGACCCATCAATCCAGATCCCAGCCATCTCAGACAAGGGGTGGCCTTTCCGTGCTGGGTTCGTTCCGGGTTCCACCGGTCCTGGCCAGCACAGCGCTGGGCATCCTCAAGGAGCACATGAACAGGTCCGTCATGGACCGAAATCCCGATGATAGAGTAGCGGTGCCTCCCCCACGAAAGACCCGGCGTGCATTTTTATCCAGAGCGACCTCGTCGAGGCCAAGGAGACCCGTGCTTCGGCCATCGCACAAGGCCAACGCTCCGATGCTGAACCGAGAACAGGACCTTATTGCTCACCAACAATCCCTTTAAGGACTTGAGTTTCGGGGACAACAAGCGGGAGGTTATCGTCCTGCATCCACCGGTACCCGGCTTTCGACCCTCGAAGAACTCATTTGGGAAGCTGCAAGATGTGGAGGTGCAACACATCACAGTGCCAAATGCAATGCCACCCAAGCCGCCTACAAAGCCCAAAAAAAAAGTATCTTCGGTGATCAATCCCTAGCTGTAATGTCCACACATTTTTTGCCGGCCATCTTGACCCTCGAATCATATAAAGAACAGCACCCAACCGAAGCCGAAGGACTCAGCTGCCTTTTATTCAACGAGAGGAGGTCTCGGCCAGGAGTCGAGGGGCTTCACGCTTCGCCGTCCACTGTGGTGGCTGCCGAGTTTTGGGATCGTTTCGGGGTTAGCCCAAAACTTGACGTTCTCCTATCAATGAACTTTTCAGTAATTAATTTATGATCGTTTTCGAAACCATTGAGGCGTAGACAAACGATCCGATGGCCAATTGAATCTGGGGTTCTTCAAAAATAGGGGTTTAGTAGTGGGGTGTTAAAATTGCCAAAAAGGGTTGAGGGTCAACTGAGCGTTTTAAGAAAATAGCAAAATAGGGCACTAATATTTTAGTATACTTTGAAGGCAATCATCAATTATGCATTTTAAGCTGTTTGGTTGTTACATCCAATTTTTAAAGAATTTCTTAGAAGGGTAAAGTGTTGACTAAGCGTCCCAACCAAGTAGCAAACCATGTCAGTAATATGTTAGTCTATTTTTAAGCTAGCCACAAATGTTTGTAATAAAATCAACATTTTAAAGATTACTGGTGGCCATATGATATGAAAACTTCTTGCATACTTCACCTTGTTAATGTTCTTCTCAAACGTATCTCTTATCTTCTTATACTACTTATCTTCTCAAATTATCCAAGTAATTGGATATTTATCCTTTCCTCACATGATTAGTTTATTGAAACAAAGTTACCTTAAAAGGATTAAATGACTCACACTATACTTCATTGTTTTCCTCTTTGGTAGGCAGTCCGAATGCTTTAGATAATATGCCTTTCTCTTACACCCCCTTTAAGCAGTTGACTGGACTGCAGTTCACCTAATACTCACAGGACAAAGGAATCGATTCTAATGTGCAGCCTGCACCGTGCAAGATATCGTCGACCATTGTGTGACGATTAAATAATAATTAATTTTGCAAAATGCAGCCGCAGCTTAAGGATACAGTAGGTTTTGAACCAGTGCTCCCTTGTGGGTCTGCGCATGTCGCAAATATATCTTCCTTGGAGTTAATAAAAGTCCCTAAAATTCATTCGTATTTAATTTATTTTGTATCTTTTGCCTATTCTACAGTAAGAAGAAAATCACGTAGCTTAAATCTAGTATCCAGTAGCAGTATCCATCTATGATAAGGAACCTCCGCTTAATCCGAAACTGTTTTCGCCGCTGCCGAAGAGTGTGTAGGCGGCGGCATCCACCTCCACATCGCCGTTGTTGAGGAGATCGCATAGTGCCAGGATATAGGACTGGGCCATCTGGAGGGTCTCGAACTTGGACAACTTTTGGTCGATGGAGGGAGCGGGCACCACTTCCCTCAGGCGATCGAAAGCTTCATTCAAGCCGTTCATGCGCTTTCTCTCCCGGGCATTCGCCGCCTGTCGTCTGCGCTTCTGGACCGTGGGACTGAGATTGGTCTGCTCTGGACTGCTCTTCCTGCCCTCCGATCCCGAGGAGCTGTTGCTACGCCGTTTGGTTTGCTTCGGAGTGGGCAAAGCTGGAACTTCCACGTTGGGCGCCAGTTCTAGTTGAGTTCCGCCTGCGGTATCCAGGAATTGCCATTCCGGGGATAGGAAAGCCGACTGCCCGTAATCCTGCGAAGAAACGGGCAGCTGGGTGAGGTTATAGTTGGGACTGCCCAAATACTGGGAGCTGCCGTCCTCATCGGAGGCAGACGAGTAGTAGTAGCTCATGGCAGATCCGCGCGTCTTGAAAGTTTCGATGCAACTGAAGCGATCCCGAGAGTCGGCTCTGCATACAACCCCCGCTTTTGGTGCGTTCTACAAATATTTTCACCGCCGTTCTGACCAAGCTTGTGTAAACGGGCCGCAAATGACCCCTGGCCCCAGGATCCTCGCAGTTATTACCATATCCCTGCCGAAGGATCTCCCCGAGGAGCAGGGGTGACTTTGACCCCCGGCCGCACACTTAGGGGTTAGAAGTGTGCCTCTCTTTCGCTCGTGCGCGCAACGCCTACACTTCGCCTACTGCCATCTCGCTCTGGCAGGGCACGCGTCATATCTTGCCAAATTGGTGCTATCATGCCATGTGATCTTCTCCTCTCCTCTGTTCCCCGTAATTTGTGACTTTCACGCTCAACGGCACACGAGTGTGAGAGTGGGAGAGGGAGACAGAAGAGAGGTGGCGAGGATGAGCTACTGTACTGGAAGGTACTGAATGGCATGGGCCATGGGCCATCAATTAACCCGAGCTGGCGAACTGCATTTCTGGCTCGCGTCTAGTGACCATATGCTGTGCTGCACCGACCCAACTTCTGTTAGGAACCAACATATGGTCGAGGCCCAGTCCTCTGGCCCTTGCTGGTTGCCCCTCGTCCTGCGAAGGTTGTGTGTCCTTGGCAGACGCACGACATTTGCCGTCTAGCCAGTTGTCGAATCAAACTATTAACTGCCATCGAACAAACTATTAAGTGGCTATGAAAAATATATTATTGAATAGATTGTTAATTACCTTGTTTTTATGATTACACATATCTTTTTTTTAAATATTTCAAATTTACTCACAAAAACCTGGGGTTATAAATAATTTTTAAATTTTTTAGGAAACGAAAAGGAAATCTTTATTAACGATTTCTAGATCTAGATTTTATTTATTTACAATATTAAATATTTTATAATTTTCTTATTTAAACAAGATATATTTTGTTAGTTTTAGTTTCATGATTAAAAACACAATTTATTACATTCGACTTTTTAGGTTTCAGAAATAATGCCATAAATAAAAACTATTTCCTTAAAACAAATATAAACGGCTCAAGTTTGTATAAGTGCAAGGAACAATTCTTAGTTTTAAGTTACCTTAGTAGAAAACTTTTGGCACATCTTAATTCGGCTAATTTAAACTCAAATAATTATTTATTGTATATTATGGTTGTTTTTAACGGAAAAGAATTCCAAAGTGAACTACAACAAAATATTTAATCAATATGATGTAGTTAAAATAACAAAAGTTTAAATAAAACACAAGTAAATTATAGTAAATTGCACAAATTCACGTTTAGGTAATAAATTCCTAATTGTTTTTAAAATACCTTATCTTGTTGTAAATATAATATTCGGCTGTTATCACTATCCTTTACTTGAGCCCTTTACTCTTTTGGCACTTCATCGAAGGGGAGTCAAGAACCTGTTTGCGCATGCACTGCCGTTGGCAGGACTCCCATCTCCTTGTTGTCCTTCTTCCCCCGTCTCTCTCTCTCTTTTTTGTGGCACTCGTTTTTGTTTTGTAGAGAAATACGAGCCGAGGACGAAAAGGAGCTTCGTGTTTTGATTCAGCAACAGGATTGAATATAAGGGCAGACAGCCAACGCAGTGTTATCATTTAAAGAAAAGAGTTTGTCGCATATAATCGCAGTGAAATCCACCAGGAAGTTTGATAAGAGGCTCTAGCTTATCAGGACATTGGAGCGCATATAATAATTTCGGCACCGGAATAAGCTGAGCGCGGTATTTGATATACCTGCAACGGGAATCAGGAAACAGGAATCGAAAAAGTCCACCCACTTTCTCACCCACGGATGTGTCTGTACTTGGGAGTCGTGGAACACCTGCTGGATGTGGTGGCCTACTGCATGTGCCGGGTCCTGGAGCTGTCCCTGTTCACCTGCATGATGGTCTGCGGATCCCTGAGGGCCAAGCTGACCCACGGGCCCACCAACGAGCTAGAGCAATGACCAGTGCACTATGAGAGCTGCTAAAAGGATGCGCTCGATGCAAATGCGTGTTTCTGTGTGCTTTTGGGTTTTTCTGAGTGTTTATGTGTGTTTCTGAGTGTTTTATGTGTGTTTATGTGAGTTCGACTAAAATTTAATAAAGGAAACTTTTCTAGTAGCGAATAAATTACAACTTATATGCGTGTAAACGATTGTCTTTCCTTCTTGTTTGGCCGGGAATTGAGCCATAACTCAAGATTGCCCACGGCAAGGATTTTGTTGTATTTTTGCTCTTGCTTTATCCTTCGGCTCCCTTCATTTGTTTGTTTGTGTTGCGGAGTCGTTTATCGTACTTATTACCCCGGGGGAAGGGATTATAGGGGGTACAATGGCCATTTGCATGATGATAAAGTATCGACTGGGGCTTACATGCTCCTACGTACTGGGCAATTGTGCTGTGGCTTTTGTTTTTGGCGCCTGCAAATATGCTTCACTTCTGGCCAGACATTTTATTGCCATCCCCCCTCCATCCATAGGTTCTACTCCGGTATTTATGTAGTTGTTTACAGCCGCCGGCAGAAGCATAAATGGGGGGACTTAACGTTTATTACACACCCACAGGAGGCTCGGGGAATCTGTCTGTTTCGACACACGAGTAAAAGTTTTGATACATTTTTGATAGCTCAACAACTAAATCCTACTAAATTTCCCGCTGGTCATGGACAACCCAATAAAACAGCGCCGCAAACCGAAGAAACTTAACGCCGCTAAGCTGGAGGAAGAACTTTCAAAAGCCATCGAATCTAAGAAGGATATTATCGATGAGGAAGATGGTCAGCCGATAGTTTATGATTACATGAAGTACTCTAGTACCAAAGCAAAGGGCAAGCTGATCAAGAGCGCAAAGCCCCGGAAAACTGTCACCTTCAAGATGATGGTCGAACTGGTTACCTATACGGATAACTGGAAGATGAAGATGTGCGAGAGTAAGCTGCGTTCGGAGGAGGAGCAGGTGTGGTTACGGATCCTGAAGCGCAGTCTTCGACGCTCCAGAACCTAGTATTTCTGATGCATTTAGGCCTTCTGAAGTCAAAAGTACCTTTCAAAACTTTTACGAAAGTAACTTTTTTAAATTATTGATATCCTGATTTTATAAGACATTGGATTTTAAACAATCTAATTGATGGATTTCGAAAAATAAAAACACGAAACTTTATTAATTTGTTTCCAATGCGTCAGGAATATTATTTTTGGAACTTTTTCTGTCATGTGTGCAATGGATCTAAAATCGAACCCTGCTTTCTACCCTCAGCTCAAGTTTTCCTTAAAACGGCGCAACTTTTGACGATTTCCTTCTGAGGATAGTTCTAATTTCCGTCAATCAATTAATATGTTTATTGTAGTAGCTAATATATGAAATTTATTGTTTTGTAAACCCAGTGTCGAAAAAAGGTTTTGTTTGTGGGTGGGGAGCTCCTTAATGATTTAGCATACTTGTTGAAAACTTTTTCCTTTAAGCCTAGTACTCACTTCAATCAAAAAGGCAAAGAAACGAAAATTTCTATACAAAAATGAAAAGGAAAATTTCGTAATCAAAACTTTGTATGGAGATTTTCATTTCGTAGGCTTTTCGATTGAAGTGAGTACTAGGCCTTAAAGTTAAAATCCGTATTGTATTAAAAAGTCAAAATTAGAAAAAGGATTTTTAGAACCAATTTTTAATAAATCACTATGGACGGCATTCCATGTAGTGACGAAGCACACAAGGAGAATGTGCGAAGGCGACTACTATATATAGTAGACATCTGCATGACTGGAATCAAACAGGCTTTGAAATGATTCCATTCGAATAGAATAGAGTTGAGTAAATGCTCAGCACACTATGACTAGAATGGATTGCATCTTGGTCCGTATAGAGTATGACAGAAAAGGCCTAGAGTTAAACGAGTGATAACGAAAAACAGAATGTCATATTTGAATATGCTGAAATCATTCGAGTTATTCGAATCCATTCGATTTTCTTATATGACGTCATAAGGGCAAAATAGAAAATTAAATTTGTTTTGATATACATATATGTATGTCTATAAATAAGTATTTTTGTGATTTCTTATTTTTGAAATTACCAAGCTCCCCTTAGTTTAAACTCAAAACACATGCAAAAATCCACGAGAAAAAAAAAAAATATGGAAAAGCAATTAGTTTTATGAACATATCCCAGAACTAAAAGATCCGCCTCTATCGCCACAGATAAAGAAAGGAATGGTCTTCCTTGGACCGCGACTTCTTAGTATTGTCATCCTGGAGTTTGTTAGATAAATTCTTAAGAAGTTGTCCAAGGAAGACCATTCCATTCTGCCTCTTCACTACACTATTATGTACTTCTCCTCCTTGGTCCGCGAATTCTTAGGATTTGCGGTAGAAGGAAGACCATTCCTTTCTGCCTCTTCACTACACTATTTTATACTTCTCCTCCTTGGTCCGCGAATTCTTAGGATTTAAATATGAAAATGGCATGGTTGGATTCAGTGGCGAGCTAAAACTAAAGGTAGATTTGTAATTTAAAAAAGACAAAAAACCAAATATTTATGTAAGTATTTAAAAACAAATTTAATTTTCCATTTTGCCCTTATGACGTCATGTAAGAACTCGAATGGATTCGAATAAATTCGTCTGAGTTGTTCGTGTACTCATTTACTCGATTCGTTTTCCATCACCATTTCTGGTTCGACTGAGTTTTACGTCAGTACACTTATTTATTCAAGCCAGTTTCCCTACACATTCCAACTCATTCAACTCATTTTGAACATTGTCAATTCGAATATGTATTTTTTGTTATTCATGCAGATGTCTAATATATAGCCGCAATGGGTGATACACCAATCGAAAGGTATCGCAAAAACTAACAGGATTGCAAGACTTTAGGAAAATCAATTGGTTTGGGAGAGAGACCAAAAAAGGAAAACAGTGAAAATTTCGAATTTTGGAGCTGTTGGGTTGAAAATACGCGTCGAATGAGGGGTCATATGATAAAATCCGATGCTCCGCTCAAAAGTTATCTCGAAAATAAAATTTGCTTCTTCTTCCCAAAATGAAAACTTTTGTATGTTTGTTTGTATGTATAGGTCCCATCGTTGTTCTAGAATCCTAATAATTTATATGGTGTTAAGCAAGTCAATATAAGAAACGTTTGTTCTACGACTTTTCCCTCCAATTCGGTGGGAAATTATTTAAAAAGCTCAATTTTGAAGGAACTTGGAACATGGAACATGGAACATGGCACATGGAACATGGCACACGGAACATGGCACACGGAACATGGAACATGGAACATGGCACACGGAACATGGAACATGGAACATGGCACATGGCACACGGAACATGGCACACGGAACATGGAACATGGAACACGGAACACGGAACATGGAACATGGCACATGGAACATGGCACACGGAACATGGAACATGGAACATGGCACATGGCACACGGAACATGGAACATGGCACATGGAACATGGAACATGGCACATGGAACATGGAACATGGAACATGGAACATGGCACACGGAACATGGAACATGGCACATGGAACATGGCACACGGAACATGGAACATGGAACATGGCACATGGCACACGGAACATGGAACATGGAACATGGCACACGGAACATGGCACACGGAACATGGAACATGGAACGTGGCACACGGAACATGGCACACGGAACATGGCACACGGAACATGGAACATGGAACGTGGCACACGGAACATGGAACACGGAACATGGAACATGGCACACGGAACATGGAACATGGCACATGGAACATGGAACATGGCACATGGAACATGGAACATGGAACATGGAACATGGAACATGGCACACGGAACATGGCACATGGAACATGGAACATGGAACATGGAACATGGAACATGGAACATGGAACATGGAACATGGTACATGGAACATGGAACATGGAACATGGAACATGGAACAGGGAAAATGGAACATGGAACATGGAACATGGAACATGGAACATGGAACATGGAACATGGAACATGGAACATGGAACATGGAACATGGAACATGGAACATGGAACATGGAACATGGAACATGGAACATGGAACATGGCACATGGCACATGGCACACGGAACATGGAACATGGCACACGGAACATGGAACATGGCACATGGAACATGGAACATGGCACATGGCACATGGAACATGGAACATGGCACACGGAACATGGAACATGGAACATGGCACACGGAACATGGCACACGGAACATGGCACACGGAACATGGCACACGGAACATGGAACATGGAGCATGGCACATGGAACATGGCACATGGAACATGGCACATGGAACATGGAACATGGAACATGGCACACGGAACATGGAACATGGAACATGGCACATGGAACATGGCACACGGAACATGGAACATGGAACATGGCACACGGAACATGGCACATGGAACATGGCACATGGAACATGGCACACGGAACATGGCACACGGAACATGGAACATGGAACATGGCACACGGAACATGGCACATGGAACATGGAACATGGAACATGGAACATGGAACATGGAACATGGAACATGGCACATGGAACATGGCACATGGCACATGGCACATGGAACATGGCACATGGCACACGGAACATGGAACATGGAACATGGAACATGGAACATGGAACATGGAACATGGAACATGGCACACGGAACATGGCACACGGAACATGGCACACGGAACATGGAACATGGCACACGGAACATGGCACATGGCACACGGAACATGGAACATGGAACATGGAACATGGAACATGGAACATGGCACACGGAACATGGCACACGGAACATGGCACATGGAACATGGCACACGGAACATGGCACACGGAACATGGCACACGGAACATGGAACATGGAACATGGCACACGGAACATGGCACATGGAACATGGAGCATGGCACATGGAACATGGCACATGGAACATGGCACACGGAACATGGAACATGGAACATGGCACACGGAACATGGCACATGGAACATGGCACACGGAACATGGCACACGGAACATGGAACATGGAACATGGAACATGGCACACGGAACATGGCACATGGAACATGGCACATGGAACATGGCACATGGAACATGGCACATGGAACATGGAACATGGAACATGGAACATGGAACATGGAACATGGAACATGGAACATGGCACATGGCACATGGCACACGGAACATGGAACATGGAACATGGCACACGGAACATGGAACATGGCACATGGAACATGGAACATGGCACATGGCACACGGAACATGGCACACGGAACATGGAACATGGAACATGGCACACGGAACATGGCACATGGAACATGGAACATGGAACATGGAACATGGAACATGGAACATGGAACATGGAACATGGCACATGGCACATGGCACACGGAACATGGAACATGGAACATGGCACACGGAACATGGAACATGGCACATGGCACATGGAACATGGCACACGGAACATGGAACATGGAACATGGAACATGGAACATGGAACATGGAACATGGAACATGGAACATGGAACATGGAACATGGAACAGGGAACATGGAACATGGCACATGGAACATGGCACATGGAACATGGCACACGGAACATGGAACATGGAACATGGCACACGGAACATGGCACACGGAACATGGCACACGGAACATGGCACACGGAACATGGCACACGGAACATGGAACATGGAGCATGGCACATGGAACATGGCACATGGAACATGGCACACGGAACATGGAACATGGAACATGGCACACGGAACATGGCACATGGAACATGGCACACGGAACATGGAACATGGAACATGGAACAGGGAACATGGAAAATGGAACATGGAACATGGAACATGGACCATGGAACATGGAACATGGAACATGGAACATGGAACATGGAACATGGAACATGGAACATGGAACATGGCACACGGAACATGGAACATGGCACACGGAACATGGAACATGGCACACGGAACATGGAACATGGCACACGGAACATGGCACACGGAACATGGAACATGGAGCATGGCACACGGAACATGGCACACGGAACATGGCACACGGAACATGGCACACGGAACATGGAACATGGAACATGGCACACGGAACATGGAACATGGCACACGGAACATGGAACATGGCACACGGAACATGGCACACGGAACATGGCACACGGAACATGGAACATGGAGCATGGCACATGGAACATGGCTCATGGAACATGGCACACGGAACATGGAACATGGAACATGGAACATGGAACATGGAACATGGAACATGGAACATGGAACATGGAACATGGAACATGGAACATGGAACATGGAACATGGAACATGGAACATGGAACATGGAACATGGAACATGGAACATGGAA